GCTGTGAGATTTTAGCCAAATTATATATTCTACTTCAAGGTGAGTGATCATTTCTGTGATAAGCAGAATTGTGTGGTAGTTAAAAATTTGGACTCTCAAGTCAGGCAGACCTGGGGATGAATCTTTTTTTTTAATCACCTTTTTTTGCAGTGGGGCGGCGGGTGGGGGGTCCTTGCGTGCAGAGAAAGAAAGAGAGAGAATCTTAAGCAGGCTCCACGCTCATCATGGAGCCCAACTTGGGGCTCAGTCTCACAACCCTGAGATCATGACCTGATCTGAAATCAAGAATCAGAGGCTTAACTGACAGAGCCACCCAGGTGCCTCTTTTTCATCACTTCTTAAGTTGTATGACCTTGGGATATGACTTGTTTCCTCATCTGCAAATTAAGGATAACAACGAAGAGAAATGCCTTTATATTAGTGATCTTTGGCTGGGTAACAAATTGCCTCAAATCTTAACATTCATTGTCTCATATTGTTTCTGGGGATCAGGAATCTGGAAACAGCTTCGTTGGGTAGTTCTGGCACAGGCTCTCCTGGACGTTGTAGTCAAGCTGTTGGTTGAAGCTGAAGTCATCTGAAGTCTTGATTGGTTCCAGAGGATCAGCTTCAATCTCATTCAGATGTCTGTTGGCAGAAGGCATTAGTTGCCTACCATGTGTGTCTTTCTGTAGGGCTGCTTACAACATGGCAACAGAGTCTTCCCAGAGCAAGCCATCTAAGAGAGAAAGCAAGTGTTACCAAGGCAGATGGACACAGTGTCTTTTATAACCTAATATTGAAAGGGACATACCATAACTTCTGTCATATTCTATTGGTTACATAGACCAACCACAGTATAGTGTAGGAGGGGACTGCATAAGGGTGTGAATGCCAGGAGCAGGGATCACAGGGGGCTGTCTCAGGGCTGGTTACCCCTGCCTTCAAATAGTTTTCCTCAGCAACGAGGCACTCTTTTATTTTTCTATTTTTTTATTTTTTTGCTTTAATTTTAGATGAGAGCCAGGAGGCTTTGAAATGATCAGAGTGGTTCGTAATGTAGCAGCAAATGAAAGGCATCTGAACATCAAGATAAATGTCTGAGTGGGGTCTACTAGCCACTTGAAAAGCATGTGGCTCCACATGCCTAAGAAATCCATAGCTGACTTTAGTAAAATCTCAGATATTAAATATTGCAGCTCTGCACTCTAACAAAGTGCAAAGGACAGAAGTTGTCTCTCTATATTAACAAGTAAGAATGGTGAGCGGATAAGGCATGGTTTACAAATCTGTATTTATGATTGGGGTCTGGCTGAAAAACAGCAAGAATAAACCATACAACCTGGGAAGTCTAATTCTAGCAGGAAGTTGTTTTGAAATAACATCATACTTCATTCACTCCCCAAGTATGTCTTTGATGACCGGTTTGGACACATCAATAAGATGTCCTGTCACTTACCATATTTTATTTTCTTGCAGCATTTCCTACTGATGGTAATTCTAACGGTGCCTGTTCTTACAGTGGAATCCACACTCTGATTTAGATTTGCCAAGCAGATTGCTCTTGGCTAAATTTCTTGCCCAAGTGCAGGCCCTTATGCTTTGAGAGATCTCATTTAAAGATCCCTAAAGAAAAATATGCAGCCTTTACTGGCTTGGATTTGTAGCTCCAAATTTTAGAAGAAAGCGGCTGGTTAACATTATAGACATTTTGAAGTACTTGTCTTTCAGAAATGCGAAGAACAATAGCAAGAAAAACCTTTTGATGGTTGAGAATTTATTTTATTTTATGTACTTATTAATTGGTACACTTTTTCCCCCCATTTTAATCAAAGATTCTGTACATTGAAACAATAAGTAAAGACATGTGTCTGCTTTAAGATCTTGATATTGGTTAAGTCTCCGTAGTCCTTTTTCATGCTTTCTGGGAAAAGGCTCTTCTGTTCTCTCAGCCCAGCAGTACTTTGATCTCAGAAGCAGTGCCATTTGGTTGTAAATGTATGTGGTGCCTTTGATCTACTATTTAGCTGGTCTTTCTTAAAATAGATAGCTTCTTTTATCTAAGTAGTGTTTACTAGGTCTCTCTCTATGAAAGATGGCTTAAATTGCTATTATTTAGGTAGAAAGTTATATAAAGTTTCTTAGGATTACCCAGATCTGAATCTAGTTCTCTAAACTCTAAAACCCCAATGGCTCTATTATAGATTTTGTAAAGCAGATTCCTATTAAAATGGGCTACTCCTACAGATGTCAGGTAATATTTGCAAAGACTTTGCTTGCTTTTTGATAGGAAACTGATTTTCCGAAGAATAATAAACATATCCTACACTTGGGCAAAATGGTAATTTTAGAGTGTCTGAACTTAACCAATTACCCCGTGAAATTCAAATATTTATATATTTTTATATTACATACCACATAGGGTCTATTGAGACGGGATTTTTAAAAAAATAATGAGTATATATATTTACTTCTCTTCTTTATGAGGATTTCTTGAACATTTTGTCAGGTGCCTTAATGACTTGTGTTTGACTTTTCTAGGCCTCAATCAGTTATTCATTCAACAAACTGTCTATTTCAAGTACAGAGACACAAAGATGACTTAGTGACAGACTCTGCCTTTAGATCGCTCACAGCCAAGGGTTGTGGGGCAGAGCACTTGCAGACAATTTCATGGCAGTGTGGTGAATGCCTCTCATGGACGGTGATCCTCCCACCCTGGCCTTGGGAATGGTCATGGAAAACTTTCTAGAAGATGTGGCATCTGAGCTTCTTTGCAAGCCTGTAATGAAGAACTCAATGTCCTATAAATTCCCAGCCAAGTCCATAAGTCAAAATCGACCTATCTGTCCAGACCTCCCTAATTTAATAGAAGTGTCCTAAACCATAGAAAGGTCTAAAGCTTCAATGGCTTTTGCTGTCTGAAACTACCCCAAAGCCTTCTTACTTGTCATTCAACTCTAAGGAGGAAATCCCCAAACCACTTTCACATACATTTTAGAACTTTTGCACCATTCTTTATTTAAAAGGAAGTATTGGAACTCTCTTTGTGTTGTAAACAAAAATAACTGTGTACATTTGTTGGGCTACCAACACGTGGTTTGTTTTCTTTTCCCCCCATCCTCCTTGGTTTCATGTTCCTATTTCAGAAGTCTTGTCATTACTTCATCTGAATACTAACCATGTGTAAGCACTTCCAAATGCTGACCCTGAGAGCAGGCACTCTGGAGGACTCTCAAGAAATATATAAGTGACCCTTCCCAGGCCTGAAGGTTGGGAGAGGGACAGAAGGAAGCAATCTGTAGTCACTTTTGGGGTCATTACAGTAGCAGTCACAACTGTCCAAAGAGGGAGGTCAAAGCAGGAAAATCAGAGGGACCTGGGGCCTGACCTCAGGGGACTCCTACAGTGTTCATGGAGATGGAGAGGAGAGGCCAGCCTCTAGAGGATACAAGAACATGAGTTTGGAGCATTCTTCAGTCAGTGCAGGCATGGTCAGTGTGGGACAGATGAGGTAGAGGCGGGAATGTGTGGAAAGCAAACTGAAGGGGTTTGGCTTTTTCCCAGGGGAGTTACTGAGTCCTTGAGGCTGCAAAATGGGAAAATAAAGTGGAATCTTTGGTACTTGTCCTGTTCTTTCACATCAGTCACCAAATACTACTGATTCTGAGAATTATGCATCTTAGGTAGTAGAGTCCTAGAGATCAGAGAGACTGGCCTTCCCATTTGTCCAGTGAGGAAGTACGTCCCAAAGTTCCAGAGGCCTGGGTCTCACAATCACTAAGTAGCAGAGCCAGGGGTACCGGTCCACCCTGTTGACCAGGACCTGAGCCTGAGTTTCTCTTCCTAGGGCTTGTTTCCCACCAGGAGTTTTTTAAAGTAGGGTCTATGACCTTTGATGGTTCCCAGGAACCTATCGGAGAAATGGCATCCCACCCTCCAGTAAGAGTGGGCTCCAGTGCACTTCTCATAGGGCTTCATTCCTTTATAGGGACCCCCAGGGTCCACACCAAACAAGAATTTGAATGGGAGCTGTGGTTGGTAACAAAAGAGACAGAGAGAATAGAAAAGAATCAGGATACATTGAGCAGGCCCAAATGAGCCACAGGAAAGCCAGGTTAGGAGAATAGAGAGCAATATTACTTTTAAGAGAATTTTTTAATGAGTTGCTAATCACAGTCTGCCTATGGTTCCTAACTTCAGAAAAGTCTGATGGAGCATGTCCCACCCAAACTGTGGCCTGAGAGCAAGGTGGACATGGTAGTCCTCAAGAAAATCAGGGAACTATTAATAGAAGGAAAGTGGGAGGATAAATGCTGGAAAAACCAAAATAATAGATTTTGACAGCAGTTCTCTTGTCCTCACCTGGACATGTGAGTACATAAAAGACTGGGATAGTCCCATAGAATATATATACCAGGTATTCTCATTGCTTCATGTATATTTAGTAATTGTGTCAATCCTCAGCTCGATGACATAAGCATTACTATTATTCCCATTTACAGAGGAGGAAATTGAGGCACAGAAAGGCTAACTTGCCCACAGTCATTCAGCTAATAAGTACCATAGCTGGGATCTGAATCTAAGCAGTCTGACTCCAGAACCTGTGTTCTTAATTATTGCATTAAAAATATACCATTTTCCTTCTTTCCTTACATTTTTTCCCTCTGAAACAAGAATTTGAGGAAGGTCCTGAAAGTGAATGTAATCCCTAATTATACCATGGTAGCTATTACTAATTTTATTACTATTTATTAATAGTATGAAAAGTCTCTGATACAGAGTAGACGTTCAAAGACTGCAAAATAAGGCAAAAATCATTTGAAGACCAACCAAGACATTTGCATGGACTCTAGGGCAGAAAGAAAATCTGCATGATCTTCAGGGGATTAGCAATGGGTAAGAAAGAATAGGAGCAGAGTAATGTATGAATGAAAATGTCCAGAAATCCACTGAGGCAGTGACAAAAATGGTGAGATGCCAAATCCTGTAATAATTTCCTTTCTCCTTCCATTCGCAAGTGCTGCTTAAGTAGAGCTGAGGCCAGACGGGATGCAGCGAAAGTGGCCCTAATCAACTCCCTCTTCAATGAGCTGCCCTCTCGAAGGATCACTAAGGAATTCATTGTGGAAAGTGTGCAGGAAGCAGTCGCCTCCACCAGTGTGAGTACCCAGCAGGGTAGAGAGCTGGATGCACTGAGACATCGAGGCCCTTGAATCTGGGGAAATACTAAAGTGAGCAAATTCATTGAGAACTGAGCAAGTTGAGGAAGACTGGCTGGCTTGGTTGTGAGTTTCAGCCTCACACTGGGCAGAGAGTTTACTTAAAAAAAAAAAAAAAAAAAAGAATTGTGCAGGCTTCATTTTGACCCATGAAATCATTGATCTTCAACAAAATGAACACTTGGATTGAAAATCCAGAAATTGGACCTGGTTCCCTATGCCACATCTCAGAAATATCTTTTAGCTGCCCTGGATGACCCTTAATCAAATTTTAAATCAAAGTAGACAGTTTGATCCATTCTGATTTATTTATTTGAATGTTTGCTGTTTGAAAAGTATTGATTTTTTAGGGTCTGGGAATGCATATAATTGAATACTGCTTTAATCTAGAGAGAAACTAGCTTATTTTTTCCCCAAACTTGACTAATCATAAAAATTATCCTAAGTGCTTATTAAAAGTGCCAATTCCCCAGTCACTGTGGGGATCCTGCAACCTGTATTTTTAAGGAAAGGTTGACTGCTTAGCATGGAAAAGGCATATGTCCAATTTTTTTAGCTCTTAAATTATTATGCTTAATATTAATTCTTTCAGAGAGCTGAAAAAAAATTTTTTCAGAGAAAATTTCTGTTAATGGCCATAATTAATGCAAAATGCTTTAAGAGCAAAAACTCTTGTCTTGGAAATTTAGATAGAATATCTTCTCAGCAATCCAGGAGTAGATGATTTGCCCCATGAATTATTTAGAACTTCTGATACTTGATACCTACCAATTACAAACAATGGAGGAAGCCTTGGTTTCCCACTGTGGTAGGTGTCTCCCTGTGTGTCCACCAAAGGCAGAAACTTGGCATTACTGAGGGAATTAGCCACCTCCTGGCTTTGCCTTTAGCATGGACAAACCCCATCTAAGATGCACATTCTCTGATCACCTTAATCTCATTATAAAGGTTCTGTCATTTTGGAGAAGCTGCTGAAAACGAAGGACACATTGTCACTCTAGCAGTGACCCTTTTGTTCCTTTTTCCCTCATAAAAGCTCTTGTCACTCACAGAAGAGATAAGAGAATGGGCAGGGGACAGAGAGTGGTTGACCTGGCAAGGGGACATCAGGGAGATCTGTTCTGTATCTGCTGTCAGGATGAAAGGAAGCTTTTATTGCCTTGACTTGTAAATTTCAAGGGCCTTTGAGGAAGAGAAGTTAGGAAAATGATGCCTGATTCATACGTGTGGAATTTACTCAGGAGCATGGAGGGGCCCTCAGTGTAAATGTAATTTATCATTTTTTCATGGAAATTTCTAAGGAAAGAGAATATATAAAGTTTGCAGGCTTCTGGATGGATTTCCTCTGGGATATTTAAAAAGCCAACATAAATATTTCAACAGCAGCACGTTAATGTTATTGCATCCAGAAGCTATAAATTTGCTGCTATCTGATGCTGGTAGTTGTTTGTTCAGCCTCACAAAGGCATTGCCCACCTTCCCAGAAATCCAAGGCCCTGGGATCCGGCAAGATAGGCCCCAATGCCAATCCAGCACTTGCGTTAGCTTTTTTTTCTGCCACTACCCCTAACCAAACTGAAGGGCAATTTCATTTCTACTCGTCACCCCACCCACTTTGTTTCCTAAAGATTAAGGAGTCCAGATGTGAAAAAAATACATACCAAGATCCGTGTCTCTAGGTCAAACACCAGCGTATTATAAAAAGCTCCCATTAAGAATCATGGCAATAAAATATGAATGGTCCAAACAATCAGAGAATTCTTTCCCAGTCAGTTATACAATCTTGCCTGGTTCCCATCAAATCAGAACAAGGTCAGCATTTCAAGATTTCAAACCGATGAAGGCAGCCTTCCAGAGGGCAACCACTCTAACATTACCACCATCAACAGCAAAAACTTTGTGCAAAGATACAGGAATTTCTCCTTTGGGAAAATTATCCTTTTAGCAAATATATAATCAGTTAACATTCGAATGAATGTTCAGATTGATTACAAAAATCTTCTTTACTCTGAGTCCTGGTGAGATTAAGAACTTTATCCCAAATCAACTGGAGACCCACTTGTAGAATGCACACCTGAAGGTTCAATATAATAGAAGTTTCACTGTAGGGCCACAGCATTAGCTCATGACCACAAAAGAAGAGGAGGGAAAAATCCGTAATATTTTCCTTTTCTGGTTTCTTCCCAAGGGCACTTTGGATGATGCAGATGACCCCAGCACCAGCATTGGAGCCTACCACTACATGTTGGAGTCAAACATGGGGAAGACCATGCTGGAGTTTCAGGTACCTGAACTTCCTGCTTCGTGTTTATTTCATTACCCAATCCAGAAACCCGGGAGAATGCCACTCTTATCGTTAACATCTCCCGTCCCAAAAATCTAGTCTTTTTGTTGTTGTTGTTTGGGTCATTTTAATTTAACCCTCTTTGACTTCAGCATGGTAGCTCTGTCTTAGCCACACCTCAGGAGGCTAAAACAAACAAGCAAGCAAGGCAAAGTCTTTGCTTTCTTGAAGCAGAGTAAAGCACTCACGTCTACGAAACAGCTGGGGAACCCCACCCTCTGACCTGCAACATTTCACCAGCTTTTCAGTGCAAAGTTCCCTTTTAAGCCAGTTGAACAGTTTGAAGTGTTGGTTGTGACCATTTGGTTCTTAATTTTCTGAAGTCATAGATGTAGTTGTCTGTATTGTACATTAAACAATGCCCCCCCTCAGTTCTGGTATTTCCATTAAACAAGATCAGCCACCACCCCTTGTTAACTAGATCAAAACATTCAGCAAACTGTAATCCTGTTTCATCCACTGCTGACAAGCGGTAATAGAGCTGAGGAACAATACCACCTATTATTTGCAAATTAAATAACTGCCTGAATAACATTAACAATAAGAATAATAGTAGCCAACACTGATTGGATGCTTTCTTTCTCTGACACTGTTCTCACTGTACTAAGCATTTAACAAATGTAGTTTAACACTCAGGACAAACATGAGTATTTACTATCCCCAAGTCATCGTTGTAGGAAGGAGTGCTGTATAGCTTAGTCAATTGCAGAACAAGGACCCACACAGTCTGATTTCTCAGCTCACACCCCCAGCTCTTATCTTTTATGGGCTGGGCAGATGAAAATTCAGTAGTGATTGGGCATGAAATGTGTGCCCTCTACAAAAACTTAACTTTGAATGTTGAATAGCCGCATTTATGTAATGCTAGTAGGAATCAATACACGGTGTTATAATGAAGAGATTGTGCCCCCAGTATTTCTATTGCTTTAGGTTAGAGTCCCAGAAACAATCAGAGATACAAGTTTTATGGGCCAAAATATTCATCATAGTGTAAATTACAACAGTGTTTCATCTGCGCCCTGAAACCACTAGCTTTCAAATACCTTTCAGACTGTTTCTGGACTACAGTGGCATAATCACTTTGCAGGCGGATGCATACCTCCTGCCCATTTATTAAAAAATCAGTATTTTTTGTTATTAGTCCCCATGTTTAGCTGAAGCAAAAATAGTCTCTCTTCATTTGGTCATCCAGTTTGTTTTAAGTAGCAGTGGTTTCATTGAATTTTGATGTTGATTGCCTTGGGTTTGAAGACACCAGGTATCCCTAAATCCTACCCTCTGGAATAGACAGACGTTGATTCTGAGCTCAGCGGCTGAAGTGGGCTGGTCCGGTTTAGCTTGGCTCAAGTCAACTTTTCACCTCTAAATCTGTTTCCTCGTTATATGTCTATTAGGGAGACTAATAGTACTAGTGTTACCTCCCAGTGCCCATGTGAGCATTAAATGGGACAATAATTGAAAGAGTCCAGAACAGTTCCTGGCATATGGTAAACACTCAGTGAAGACCGACAACTGTTATTATACATACTTCTGAAGAAGGACCGCTTCACTTGAAATGCCATACTACCGGATGGATTCCCTTGACAAATTGATCTAACTTAAAGGTTTCAAATGAGGACAAGGCAACTCCCTGCAAACATTACAGGCCTCTTTTTTGAATAAAAGGGTGGAACTATAAAGGGCCCATGCTTTTTCCCCCATAATGATCTAAGGTCGAGGAGAGTAAAAAACAAAAGGGAGTAAAAAAAACAAAACAAAAAAACAAAAAACAAAAAAACAAAAGGGAGTAAAAAAACGAAAGTAACACAAGAGAATTTTTACAAACTGAACAGAACTGTGTGTGAAACCTGCTCTACCACTTTCTGCCTGCGCACATAATTATCTGAGACTCAGTTTTCTCATCTATAAGAATCATAATGCCCATTGTGTAGGATATTTGTGGAATTGACATAACATGTAAAACATAGCATCTAGTATAGTAATTTCCCCAAGGAAGAACCCCACTTATCTTAATTCCTCCCCTCTCAATCCCAACAAAAGAATATTTTACATCTCTTATTATAAAATGAATGTTGCCTGTCCTGGTACATAGTAAATTATATGTGATTTAGTAGCTATTTTCAGAAAATTAAGAATGAGTTTTGAATGCAGTCAAATTAGTCTCCCAAATATGGAGAAGGTAAGATTATTTAAAAATTATTAAAATTTTGTCCAAGTACTATGAATGGCTGTACTCAACCACCTTTTGGTAATTCTTCATCACCCTGCAATGGGCTGTATGTTTTCTGTGTAGTCTATGTAGTAAGTTACTTAAATACGTGAAATAATAACTTGAATCAAACTGTGGAAATGCTTCATAAAGTCTCATAAAAGAGGCTGGGAGCAGGATGGGGGACACAGGAAGAGGAAGATGTGAGGGCAGGAAAAATCCAAACTCGGTCCCCCAGTAGGGATGCTGGCAACCCAGGAGGAGGGCCATGGAGCACATCCCTTTTCCTTCCGCCAGTTTGAGGTTGCCTGCTGGGTCCAGCACATTCCTTGGTGGCCTGGGTTAAATACATCAGCTTGTTTCTGCACGTAATGGAAATTGACCACAGACCCGGACTGTTTGTAGCCAACACAGCACTTCAGTGCCCTGGTGGGTAATGGATGTGTGTCTGTATCAAGCTACGGAAGACTATCCTGTATAAAAACAAGGCTGGTGTCTCCTGACTGCCTGCAGGCTTTCCAGGGAGGCTGTCAAGGAGGCAGCACTCAGAGGAAACATGATAGGCTTCTGCTTACCTTTACTTCGTGGGAGGGAAGCGGAATAGCCTTGCCATACAGAAAACTGCCTGGTATTTGGGGGGAGGGATGGCGACAGCACTAGCCACTGGGTCTTGTCAAGGTCATATTTGAGACGGACTTTGACTGAAGCTGGTTAATATATTTATTCTGAAGCCTAATGCAGTCCAAGAACGAGTTGTTTATTTACATCTTTGCTAAATTCTCCAGGTCGCCTTTTAAAACCTCATCCCATAAACAAATTTCCTCTTAAATCCATTCTCTTGGGTGGGGAGATGGTGCCCACCTGTTTTTCAAGTTCTCCATTTACAGTGTTTGTTTTTCTTATTTCTGATGAATCACAGACCCAAGCGAGTCTCCCAGACAAAGTTCCAGAGAGAAGCATAGTGCATTTTCTCCCAAGAAGTAGCTGAAAAGGCAAACGTTGCTCCTGATAGGAGGCAACACCAGGAAGCACTGTGAGGACAGAGCCCAGCTGTTGGTGCTTTAAACGGAATGAATGACAAATAGAACCAGGAAAGCTGTAAAATGAAAGCTGCAACTTGCAGAAATCACAGAGCTTTCTTCTCCATTTGATTTCAAATTTACCTTACTGGTCGGGACTGGCCACATCATTCTTGGGGCCCATACAAAGTGAAAATCCAGGGCCTTTTGTGAAAAAATTACTAAGAATTTCAAGTCAGCGGAGCATGAAATCAAGCTTGGGGTCCTGTGTGACTGCCCACACCACAAGCTCATGAGGCCGGCATTGTCACTGAGAGAGACTCACCAGAAGGGACCAGACTAGGGTAAGGAGAGTTAGGCCTTCACCCCAGGCACAAAATTTAAAGGAGTGTCAAAAAACTCAGTGATCAAAACAATATTATAATGCACTATTTTAAAAACTCAAAACGAATGTGTAAAAATTCATAACAAACAAAATATCAAAATTTTAAATAAAGACAGAATTTTTTTTTTAAGATTTTATTTATTTATTTGACAGAGAGAGATCACAAGTAGACAGAGAGGCAGGCAGAGAGAGAGAGAGAGAGAGAGAGGGAAGCAGGCTCCCTGCCAAGCAGAGAGCCCGATACGGGACTCGATCCCAGGACCCTGAGATCATGACCTGAGCCGAAGGCAGCGGCTCAACCCACTGAGCCACCCAGGCACCCCAAAGACAGAATATTTTTTAAAAGATTTTATTTACTTAAGTGAGAGAGAGAGAGAGAAAGAGAGAGTAGGGTGTAGGGGCAGAGGGAGAAAGAGAAGCAGGCTCCCCACTGAGCAGGGAGCCTGACATGGGGCTTGATCCCAGGACGCCGAGATCATGACCTGAGTCAAAGGCAGATGTTTAACGGACTGAGACACCCATGTGCTCCTAAAGACAGAATTTTAAATAAAAGACCCTGAACTTTCATGATTCACCTTAAATCTTGCTTCACTCTCCTCACCGTAGTCCCAACCCAACCTATAGGCCAGCTTCTTGTTTATCTGTCAGCCTACCCTAATTCCTCGGGGTTCTAGATCAGCTACATAACAAATAGCACAGCCCAAAGACTTGCATGAGGAGCGGGACAGATAGCTCACCAAACAGATTTCCTTTAAAGTGATAAGGCTTTGAGAGAAAAACAGTGAAAAACTGTGAAAACCAGGCAACAAGGAATCCTGGTGAAACTAGGAAGTCCTTACTGAAGTCCACAGCTCTCTTCTTGCCAGTCTGTTATAACGCAAGGATTTCTGATCGAATCCATGAGGGCATACAAGGATTTCCTGGGCTCATACAGCTTCGGGAAGATCTGAGGATAGTGAATTTGGTCTTATGAGGGGGGAAATAAAGAGGTGGGACACGAAGAATGTGGCAATATTTCCATATATGTTACATAGTGATGGTAAGATTAGTATCTCTACAGAGGAGGGCAAGAACTAGACTGAGACATAATGTACAAAGGCAGAAAGAAGGTGATTTTCCCTGTGGGATTTCAGGAATGAGAACAACACTGAGAAAGAGGCAGTTATGTTACAACAAAAACTCCTTGGGGATGGAATAGAAATTTAGACAAACCAGAAGGGTTATGGGGATGACTCTCCTGCAGTTAAAAACAGTTCAAGTCTCTGTGGGGAAGTTTTTGAGAGACATACGTTGCCAAGGGACAAGAGAATGGTTTCTGGCTCTGTTCACAGTAGAATTGTGGGTCCTAAAGTCTTAGGAGCCTTGATGGGTGGAATGATGGGAGTTTATCTGGAAGAGGGGCAATGGTTAGTATATAGATAAGAATGAGACCTTAGAAGACATCGGAGGAAGACTATGTTACTAAGGCATATGTTGCATATGTTACTATGTTTCTGGGTTATACAGAATTTAATCATTATAAACTTGGGTTGGGGGGAAGGTGGAGGACTGGAGGTGATATTTATTATTCTAAAAAATGGACATATATAATGCAATGCAAAATTCAAATGGAGTCTTAAAACATTAAACAAAAAGAACTGTCTTATTTGGAAATAGTGGCCATTCTGTAACACCACAGAGACTGTCCCCTATCAGGACATAAAAAGTGTTACTTTTCATATTTACGGCTACAAAGTCTTTAGTGAGAAGATTAAAGATACAGTAGGAAAGGCAGCACAGATTTACCCTCCTCAGTCACTGGGGTTACTTTGATGAGAAGCACAGGGTGAGAAGCAGATTATGTGAGATTTGGCCATAGAACTAATCACACTCACAATTCCAGATTATCATTGTGAAGTGACAGAGTGCAAATCTGGATGGGGCAGGGAGAGGTGGAGGAGAGAGGGCCCGAGAGAGGCGGCTTCCCTCGGCTGTAGGCCTGGGACCCTTGGCAGATGGTGGCCTCTCTGTTTGGGGCAGGAGGAGTAATTCCCCTGGTATCCATGTCGCATTTTAATTAATGGAAACACATGGTTTTGCTTTTACTGAGGTCTCTATGGGCTCTTCGAGTGCTTACTATATAGTGAAATATAGACAAAGTCCGCAACTGAAAAGAAGACAAAAAACCCATTACATTATACTGGCAATTTCAGACATAAGAATAGTGATATTTGCTCTTCTGAATATCTTATAATTTTAAAATTTACCTAATAATTTTAAGATGTCTGAAATCTTAGAATGCCTTTGGTCTCCTCATTTTCATAATTGAAGATTTTTGGTAAGCAAGCAGAGGTAAAGACAATAAAAATCAGCTTTTTTGAATGGTCAGTAGGACAACTGTCTAAATGTTAAGTTTTCATAACTAGTGTCATAACCAAAAATTTCCTTAATTTCCTGGATTGTGTTGAGTGTATGTGGTTTGTGCTGTCAATACACAATATATGTCTCTTCACCAAAAAAGAAAAAATGCAGATAGCTTTCAATTGAAGACTGCTACTTATAATCATGTTAGGAAAATAAAGTCTTCAGAGTTTATACAGTTTAGGTTGCCCTTGATATCATGAAGGAAAAGGATGCTGACATAATCTTAATGCTGTGCTCAACAGCGGCCATTGGGTGTGGAAACTAGGGATTGGTTTTAATGTCAATTCTACTTGATTATCCATATTTTCAGGCATTTTCTTGACTGAATTTATACACATAGGAGTATGTTACAGTTTCTTTAGTTTGTCCATTATATGTTATCTATATTCTTGACCAAAATTTTTAAAACTTTAAGTGGTTTTCTTTAATATATATTGTCACATGATTCAAAACTCAAAAGGTACAAAAGAATGTCAGTCAGTGGTCTCCCTTGTACTTCTGCCCCACAGGCATTCCTGTTTCTATCCCAGAAACAACTATGTTATCCAGTTCTTTTGTATCTTGCCAGAACTCTCATAGGCATTTACAAGCAAATATTCATAGGTATTTTCTACTCTTTTTTAATCAAATACTAGTACACAGTATATATGGTGTGCACCTTGCTTTTCTTTTAACACCACATCATAGAGATTCTTTATATTAGATCCTAGGGGGGATGCCTGGGTGGCTCAGTTGGTTAAGCGTCTGCCTTCAGCTCAGGTCATGATCCCAGGGTCTTGGGATCAAGTCCTGCTTCAGGATCAGTCCTTGCTTAGTGGAGAGCCACTTCTCCCACTGCCTGCCACACCCTCTGCTTGTACTCTTTTTCTGATGAATAAATAAATCAATCTTAAAAAAAAAAAAAACTGGGAGGGCCTTCTCATCCATTCTCTATGAATGAAAGTATTCAGTGGTATGACTTCATTGTAGGGGAGGGAAAATAATTTTTTCTCTACCCTTCTGAGTTCTTAGGTGAGACCCCTGTAATAAAAGATTAATAAGAGAAAAACAGAAGTTGTTTTTTTTTTTTTTAAACACACATACTTCATGTGTACATGAGAGATGCTCAGGGAAAAATAGTATCTTCCTGAGGTGGCTTGGAATTTAGGATCAAATACCATCTTAATAGGGAAAGAGGAGGGGGATGTAGGCCTCTTAGGAGATAGTAAATGATTCTTAAGAAAGAGAATGGCCCCTTAGAAGAATAGCTGGGAGGTATGTTAGTCTGTGTCTTCTTTTGTGATAAGAGTCAATCTTCCCCAGTTGATGAAATGGCTCAGGGGGGGATTTATCATAATTGGGTTCCTTCTGGAGGACGTGTCTTTAGGCAGATAAGGGGAGTTCAGAGAAAGCCTTTCTTCCCATTTGCTGTTTTTCAAGTGCTTGCAGCTTAAAATGAATATAACAAAGTGGCATGTTTTGGGGTGGCATGTCCTGAACTCATATTTTGGGGGCAGCAAATTCTGCTACTCTTCAGTATCATTCTTTTTAAAACTATTCCTTTAAAAATGAGCATTCAGAGGAGCCTGGGTGGCTCAGTGGGTTGAGCTTCTGCCTTTGGCTCAGGTCATGATCTCAGGGTCCTGGGTTCCAGCCCCACATCGGGCTCTCTGCTGGGTGGGGAGCCTGCTTCCCCCTCTCTCTCTGCCTGCCTCTCTGCATACTTGTGATCTCTCTCTCTCTGTCAAATAAATAAATAAAATCTTTAAAAAAAAATGAGCATGTGAGGAGTGCCTGGATGACTCAGTCAGCTAAGCATCTGAGTCAGTTTTCAGATCAGTTCATGATCTCATGGGTGGTGAGATGGAAACCTACCTTGGGCTTTGTGCTCACCCAGAGTCAGCTTGAAGATTCTCTCCCTCTGCCCCTCCCCCCACTCACACACATTCTCTCTCTAATGAATAAATCTTTAAAAATTTTCTTTAAGATTTTATTTATTTGAGAGAGAGAGCATGAGCGGGGGGTGGGGGGAGTAGACTCCCCACTGAGAAAGGAGCCTGATATGGGGCTTGATCCCAGGACCCTGGGATCAAGATCTGAGCTAAAGGCAGATGCTTAACCAACTGAGCAACCTAGGCACCCCTAAAAAAAAATGTTTTGATGATGTCCACCTCAAGCTGACACCATCTAATTAGATGTAGGAACTGAAATCAGCTGGGAAAATAGTAAATTTATTCTCTGCCCTACAGTCAGAAAACTGCACCATTCTGTAAACTAAAAGCAGAGGTTCTCACCCCTTGGCCAATGGCAGTTTTCCCCGCTGGACAAAACTGCCCACTCTTCCTGGAATGGCATGGAACCTACAGCAAAAGAAACAAAAGTCAGAATCTTTGCCATTGCTGAGACCTTTGATGCTCATTTATAGCAAATTAATGTCAGCTAAGACACAAGGTACATCAATCAGAACCTGTCAGTACATCACTCAAACATTCATAATTCTGGACTCAAGAAGAGCCAGGTTGAAAAGCAAAGTCGATTATTACTACTTTTCTTTTTCTGTATCTTGTTCTCAGTGATACACTGTGCTGAGGAGGATTACAGTGAAGGATTCACTATTTTAATAAATCCTTAAAAAATAGAAATAAGCACTTAAAATATTTTCAACCTCAGGCAATTTTAAAAAACAGTACAATGAAAAATTTTACCTACACATTATTCTGAGATGTGCTGATATATTTAGATAACTTCTTGGGGGTAGAATTGTTAGAGCATATGTATTGTTATTTTATTTTTTATTTTTATTTTTGGAGAGCTAATGGTGAGAGGCAGAGGAAAAGAAGGAAGAGAGAGAATCTTAAGCAGGCTCCAAGCCCAGTCTAAGCTTGATGCAGGGCTCCCATCTCACAACCATGAGGTCAAGACCTGAGCTAAAATCAAGAGCCCGACGCTTAACCAACTGAGCCACCCAGGGACTCCAAGCATATGTACTTTTAATGTTGAAAGATATTTGTCAACTACTTAGTCATTTTATTGTGCAAATATGGATATAACAGAGGAAGGAAGGAAGAATGCTCCAGAGGCCTGGGGACTCTGGTGTTTGAAAGGTCTCTAAGTATTCCAATGATAATGTATATTCTATTTCCCTGAGATAGCTGGGAATCAGAGTTATGCCCTACCCAGCTTTCACATTTTCTTTTTTTTTTTAATTTAATTTAATTTTTTTCAGTGATCCATAATTCATGCACCACACCCAGTGCTCCATGCAATAGGTGCCCTTCTTAATACCCACCACTGGGCTCACCCAACACCCCCCACCCCTCTCCCCTCCAAAACCCTCAGTTTGTTTCTCAGAGTCCACAGTCTCTCATGCTTTGTCTCCCCCTCCGATTTCCGCCAACTCACTTCTCCTCTCCATCTCCCAATGTCTTCCGTGTTATTCTTTATGCTCCACAAGGAAGTGAAACCACACTTTCTTTCACATTTCTGCTTTGAGAGTAATGACAGGTGTTTGGGTTTTGTAGGAGCTGATGACCATTTTCCAACTATTGCACTGGAATGGAAGCTTAAAAGCCCTTCGTGAAACAAAGTGTTCCCGACAGGTGAGGTTTTCCAGTCAAGAATGGGTTTGTCATCTTCCTAGATTTCCCTTACTTGGATTTTTCTCTGTTTAAATCTGATACTTTATCTATTAAGAGCAGAGGATATATGAAAAAATATATATAACAGTCCATTTGAGTCAGGGACTGATCAAATATGCACACGAAGGAGAATGTTGCCTACACATAGGACTAATTTAGATACCTGTACTAAATGCCTAATAGAGGGATCATTAAGACAGACTTGGTTTCTAAGTCAAATGCTCAATCTCTCTATGCACCTGCCCTGCCTTAGAATTTGTTCTCTCTTTTACTCTCCAAGGCAGGTATGTGCTATGGTGAGTGCTGTGAATTGTGTAAGACTAATGATTCACAGACCTGTACCCTTGAAGCAAATAATACATTATATGTAAGTAAGTAAATAAATAGATTATACAGTAAAAATAATTAATACAGTAAGAAAAGAAAGAAATTTGAGAATGTACTACTTCTAAACCACCTCACTAAAGAGTACTAAAGTTGATTATAGCAGGAAGATTTTTCTCACCCCCACCAAAAGTCCCCAGAAGAAAACAAAAATGATTATAAAGTTGGGCAAGCCGGCATTCAGTCCTCAATTTTTTGGTCTGGAAGTTTCTTCTTTATTTTTCAGAAACAAGGTCTCACTATTTCTTCATTACCTATGAGATGCACCCTCCCCCCCTTTTTTTAATGGCAAAGGCAAATCCCCTCCTATATCTTTGACAGTTTTCACCTTCTATCCTGCAAGATTCATCCTTCCTTTTTGTACCAGTGGAGTTTGAAAGATAGTGTTTATTTTTGAGAATTTGCTAACAGGAATTTGTATGAGGATTAAAGCCTCTACCAGTCAGCTAGATGTGGGTGGATATAAGTTTTCCATGCACTGCAGCCCCAGGAGTTTTTTAGTTGTTCTTTCGTTAGAAAGTCTGGCTTTCAAAATGTCAAGGATGGAAAAGAAATGAGTAGTTGACAATGGCTAGGGCTATTTTTTTCTTTTCCTTTGATTTTATAAAAGGTCTTTGAAATTCACTGGGCTGGTTATAAACACTTTTCCATGGTTGTTTTTAATTTGTTAAGGTCATAAATAAATACCATATGCTCTTGAAAATAAAAGTAAGCAATGCATCCACTCTAGGAGATCTTCTTAAAGTGTAACCATTAAACCTATACATGATGTTACAATGTATTGGCAGATTTCTCACATGAGAATTGACAAGTAGTGATTCATTTCGACTAATTTACAGAACAGACAATGTACATTATTATGATTATCAATAATGATAATGCCTACATTCCACAGTACATTCTTAAAGTTCTTTCTGTAGTTTCTGTGAACCATTTGGACTGCCATCTATCTTCCTTACGCTAACAAAATAGCAGTTAGGAAATTGACCCTCCTTGGTTTCTAAGCCTTGTCCTGACTCAAAGCCTCCTGCTCTCTGCAATGGATGTGACTAAACCGAATTCTGCCCTAACCCTTCCGTATAATTGTTCTGTCTCTCTACGTTGCTGACAGAGATAATGTTGGGTAAAAGAGTTCAAGGAATCAATGAAGTAGTAATATTCATGCATAAAGGAATGCATTTTCAAAGGAAGACATTTTCTAGCAAGGTCAGAGTTCTGTTTGTGGACATTATTGAGTCATTCTTGGTGGTAGTGTGTTGACACAACCTGCAGTGACTCTGTTTTACCTGACCAGCTTAGCCCTTCATTTGCTTTAAGAAGTGTATCTTGAGATTTGGCCTCCATTTGTGAACATCAAAGAGGTTCGGTTGTTGGCAAAACTCCTATGGATGTGGATGTGGGGGGTGGCAGAGACAAAGGAAATGAGGTGTTGGAAAGCCATGAGCACAGGTGCCTTTATTGCTCTTCACTGACACTCTGGACTTTGTCTCTTGGCTCCCAGGAAGTCATCTCCTACTATTCCCAGTATTCCCTAGATGAAAAGATGCGCAGTCACATGGCCCTGGACTGGATCATGAAGGAGAAGGAGTCACCAGGAATCCTCTCTCAAGAGCTACGGATGGCCCTGAGGGAGTTGGAGGAAGCCAGGAAAGCGGGACAAGAACTGCGGTTTTACAAAGAAAAGAAAGAAATCCTTAGTTTAGCCCTGACTCAGATCTACAGTGATCTTGACACCTCCTCACCCAGTGATGATCAGCTGAGCCTAACTGCCCTTTGTGGTTACCACTAGCAAGGCCAAGTCCTGGCTGCCCCGAGCTTGGCAGAGGCCGGACTAACATTAGAAAGCTCAGTGAAGGAGGTCCATCCCAGGCTTTAGCAGCTACAGCTACTACCTGAAGGCTGTACTAATTCTTCCCATCCATTCCATTCACAGAATTTGAGAGTAGTAGGACCCTTACAGGACCCAACATCCCAATCGATGCAATTTTCCCATCATGCTTTCAAGAGTTCCGCCTCTTACTGAAAGGATGAAGGAAAGATTGTTGGAAAAATATTTTCCCAGTTTGGCTTCAGCCTAAAGCCCTGTTGACATGTGCCTTGCTAGATTCTGTGTGTTGTTATAAACAATGGGCCAGTGTAGCATCCCCCAAAAGAACATCAGCCAGCATTGGGGAAAGGAGCATGATAGCAATTTTTAAAAATACTTGGGATTAAATAAACAATATAGAAAAAAATACGCCGGTTGGAGTTTCTTCCTAAGCTTTAGAAGCTAAGAGATACTTATACTCTACTAGGTGTAATCCCAAATTACAGTGGGGATTTTATCTGGACATCCCACAATCAAAGATCTGAAAGTGGTAATAGTATGAAAATACTTGATAAATTTAATTTGGCTTAAAATGCCAGTAATAATCATTTTTAAAAATCTACATTCTTCCATATGGGGGTGTCACCTAAAGTAGTACCATTACTTGTATTCCTCAAGAAGAATTAATATCTAATGTTTATGAGTCCTGGAGCTAGTCATGTTTATTTTTAACTTGCAGATAGATTGCTTGATTTGTTTTTATTTTTGCCACCATAGTCATATGTCTATAATGGAGAAAATTACTGGCATTTTAAAGGTTAAAGCTTTTAAAAAAAATCATTAGCTTTTAACAGTGCTTGCGTTTGATTAGTTTCTCATGCATTAGAGAGGAGTCTTTAGCTGTCTTTTTGTTGTTCAAGAACGTGAGCCATGAGTTGCTCAAATGGAGTGTCATTTTTAGGTTTTAATTAGACATCTCTCTTTGAAAATGGCTTGGGTCAATTAATTGATTAGAAAACCAAAAGCAAATACAGACCAATTTTTGAATAGTTTCTGGTCACTCAAATTTAAGAATGGCAGTGGCAAACTTTAAACATTTGTGGGAATTTCCATATTTATAATGTGAAAACTATTATCTTACATTTAGTCCCAAATTTCAAAATAAAGAACAGAGTTTTTTCAATATTAGACAGGTTTTCTTTTTCTTCATCTTTAGGCAAATGCAAACTAACTCTCCTGAAGGCTAAAACCACTATATTTACATTAAAATTTACAGAAACATGATAGTTCAACTTCATATCTAAATACGTGCAGATGTGATTGTCCTTCCTTAAGTCCCCATGAAAACTATGTATACTGAGCATGTATTTTGGAAGTAGCCTTGATAATAAAAAATTAATTTCATATATCCTATTTCTCATATCAGGGGAGAATTTAGCTTCATGTCTGCCCTACTCTAATGTGGGAAGGTAATACTATATAATATTAAATAAATTTAATTTTAAAATATTATTTTAACAAATGTCACATTCCTCCCCATAATGAGGCTAAATGTCACCTAGAATAAAACTGCATTCCCTTATAATTCCAAAAAGGAATTAGGATTAATATTTGTAAGTTGAATAAATTTTAAAATTAAGGAAACTTTCTATTTAAAGGAATTTTTTCGTAAAGTAATTACTCTTTAACATTTCAAAAAGCCATAATTTCCCATGTCGGGTGTATGAAAAGCTAGGTATATCTTTGCTAGCATTTGCAGACTTTGACAATGACTACTGCAAGCTGACACCATCTAATTAGATGCAGGAACCAAAATCAGCTGGGAAAATAGTAAATTTATTCTCTGCCCTACAGTCAGAAAACTGCACCATTCTGTAAACTAAAAGCAGAGGTTCTCACCCCTTGGCCAATGGCAGTTTTTCCCAGCCAGTCAAAACTGCCCACTCTCCCTGGAATGGCATGGAACCTACAGCAAAAGAAACAAAAGTCAGAATCTTTGCCATTGCTGAGCCCTTTGATGCTCATTTATAGCAAATTAATATCAACTAAGACACAAGGTACATCAATCAGTACCTGTCAGTACATCACTCAAACATTCATAATTCCGGACTCAAGAAGAGCCAGGTTGAAAAGCAAAGTCGATTATTACTACTTTTCCTTTTCTGTATCTTGTTCTCAGTGATACACTCTGCTGAGGAGGATTATAGTGAAGGATTCACTATTTAAATATATGGATCTCTGGGTCCTAAACTTTTGTGGTGACAACCCCTTTGAGAATCCAGTGAAAGTCATGGACCTCTTCCTAGGAAAATAGAGTGCATTATATACATTCAAATTTGCATAAACAGTTTCAGAGAGTTTGTGGACTTTTCCAAAGTCCATGGATTACTCTAAGAACCTTCAGTTCAGAACTCTTAATTTTCAGCATAGACTTACTATCTCTTAAACTTTTCAGCAGGGATCCAAGCTAATTTAGACATCACCTCGTGTAGCCTATTTCTAAGATAAATGTCATTATCCTTACATACAGAATCATATTGTGTCTTGACAAGAGACAGTTTAATTTTCACAAAATCCAAATACACCAAATTGTTATGAAAAAGCAGTTGAAAGCAAACTAGTCACTAAATGTGTGTGAACCTATCAGAATATCACTGATTTAATGAAGTCATCGTTCCTCTAATGATCAGAATTTGGTTGTCCATTTGTTCAAAAGCTATAATCCACTGATATGTTTTCTCTTAAATTCATTCACTTACCTCTACAAAAGAAGAAGAAGAAAATCACAAATATTCTTGAAATGGTGTACCCACATCAACTTTGAATCTGATCATTTATGTCTCAGGGAAAAGAGGAAAAAGCATATAAAGATTTAACACTTCCCTGATTCTTTAGAGGAAAATTTTGGAGCTAGCAGTATTGGTGTAGTTGACTTTATCTCTGAAATGCTTTAGAGAATTTTGAGTTGTATCATGCCATGCCTTTCATTCTTGCCAAAGGACAGAAGAAGCCAGATGAAGAATATTTTCATTATCCTTGACTATGTTTACAAGTAAACACTATTCAAGATATTATCACTTACATATTATTGATACTTTTTCATTTTGCCTTGTAGAAAGGCAAATATTAAGTTTTCTTCTATGGTATCTATGGTGTTAAAGTGTGAATATTATTTTTAGCCAGGGCTCTTAGGAACATGAAAATCACTTTCTCTGCCACAGTGGTTCTCAACTTTGGCTGCACATCAGAAATAATTAAGGAGCTTTAAAAAATCCTAAATGTCTAGACTATACTCAGACCAATGAAATCAAACTCTCTGGAAGCGTGGCCCAGGCATCAGTGTTTTTTAAAACTCTCCAGGTTGTTTCAATGTGCAAGAAGATTTGAGAATGACTTCTACCCAGAAAGGTCCTTGGCCTAGCTAGTGGGAGCTATTACTCCATTTGGCCTTGGCCCCGACTCATATGTTGAGCTCCTTTGAGCGAGGTATGACCTTGTGTAAGCAACAAGCTTTTCCTGGAGCCCAGAGCTAAAAGAGGGTAAGCACATGCACCCACACCCACACACCCACACACACACTGCATCTTAGCGGTACAGCCAGGTTCTGCCCCAGGATCTAGGCTTTCTTTCCCAAATATGATACATAAAATATCCATACCAGAATCATCTGGCTTACTCATTTAAAAATAAAAAGTTCCTGGGCCACACCCAGACCTGTTGACCAAATTACAGGAGAAGATCTGGATAATTCACCACTTTACCAGGTGTTTCTGATCAGACTTAAATTTGAGCTCTTGGCCTAAAGCTACCTAACACATTCTTTAGCGGGCAGCACAGCCCTGCCCCTTCGGACGTAACCAGCCTCTTGGGGCAGAGTGCAGAAAGGAATAAAGGAGAGAAGGGAAAGTTGCCCCTCTACCTTTTCTGTAAGCTGAAGAAAAACAGAAGGGGCAAAGAGATATGGCTGCCTTTTTTCTACTAAAAGAGCAGCTCGCAGTCTTTTATCACTTTGGTCTTAACGACATTTGGACTTAGTTTTAATCCCTTTACCAGAGACCATGGAAATCTCTTTTAGCTCATGTTAAAGTCACTTCTCTAAACCTGACTAAAGCCTGGTAGCACTTTGTACCTTGGAACAAAGTAGGCTGTGGGAAAGGCTAGCAGAAGCTGCTTCTCAAGAAGCATGGATTCTTTAGTGGTTTGCAAGTGAAAACCCCAGATTGCTAACTATAGCAGTTCCCACTTTGTAGGGGCAATTATGCACCACAAATACATTGTAAGTCAGTTGTTCAACCCTGAGGGTGCATTTTTCTATAAAAACAAGGTCATAAATGGGGGCAAGTTTCCCGAACTAGCCTTTTCCTACTAGCCTAGCAGTAGGACACCCCAAATATTGATCTATGGGATCTAATACATCCCTAGGTTGTGAGTAGGCAGGGGAAGGCAGAACAAGGGTAGTCTGGGTCTAGTGCATAGTATTGAAAACCTCCCGGGGTGTATTTCTCAGCCCCAAACTGGTTCTCCAGTCTCTTTATTTTCTCTTTGTCCCCCCTAGATTACCTTGCCAACACCCCACCCACTGCTATTACTTGTTGCTTCTTCTGATCATGATTTCTTCCACTTACTGACTTACTGAAGAAAAGGTAACTTTTTCCTGCCTTCTTACAAACTCTTTGAAAATTTCTAAGAGTTGGTATCACCAGAGAAATAGGAATATTTGTGTGACCTACAAATGGCAGCTACTAAGCTTCTCTGAAGACTGTTTTCACCAGGGCTGGTGAGGAAAGCCACAGACACACAAAGGAGGACTACACCGAACAGGGTAGCCATGGAACCTGTCCCATGCACCCACAGTCCTAAGGCTTCCTGCTTCTTGGGTGTTCTCATTAGGCTCCACATAACACTGCCCCATCCTGATCACAGCTGCCCCATAATTAGCCAATGATTCGGGGTAACCTGGCTCGAAACTCTAAACTGGACTGATCAGTCTGTCCCCCCAGGAATGTGAACTAAGAAACATGAAAGGATTTTGCCAGGTTGAGTTGGGAGGGGAAGTTGGAAGAGTCACCTTCACGAGAGCTGTGGTCTGTGCAAGCACAACTGATGAGGAAGAAGAAACCATCAGTCAGTAGAGGAAGCTGCTGAGTAGAAAGAGGAGATGCTGAATGTTGCAGAGAACAGATGCAGAGAAAGGCAGAGATGCAAGGAGAAGCTGAAAGTATGAAGTCCACGCAGGGATGACAAGAGCTGCTGGCCCAAGCGCCCTGCACAAAATTCTTATTTTTTATCTGGGTGGATCACATACCTTGCAACCAAAGAAATCGGACCTTTCTCATTTCAGAGCAAAATCACACTATATTATTCTGGTTTTGTTTTTTTTTTTTAATCCTCCAAGTGACAAAAACAAAAAAACAACAACAACAAAAAAACACCAAATTGATGTGAGGAAGAGCCTCTTCAAGTGAAAAAAATGCTGCTGAAAAAAGTAGATCTAAAACTGGTGACAGAATTGACTTTTTCCCCACTCACTGCCTCTCTTACTCCAATGTCAGGTCTCACAGAGTTCAGGAGTTCTTCCAACTCTGAAATAAATTTATGTATTATGTGCTAATCATCCTCCTGCTCCCCTACATAGAAATTCTTGTGTTCTCATGTTCTACAGGAGGTATGACCACAGAAGGAAAACAGGACTCTATTTTTAAAAAGATAGAACTCATAACCTCAAATAACTGTTGTCTTCTTAAAAAATTAGTCACCTCAGGAAACTAGTAACATGCTCTGACAATGCTCAAGAATGCCATCTTTGGCAAAGACATTCCAGCCATGAACTCGTCTTTGGAAATGATCCTCTGAATTCATTTGAGTAAAGGAAGAAAAGCAGTGTCTATTGTGGGCTGAAAACTCCTTCCCCTGAACCAACTAGTTTACTTTAGCATCTGGAGTATTAGATCAAATACTTAGCATTTGCTCAATGAATGTTTCTTGAGTAGAAATGTATTATCAGTGTATTGGGGTGTCTTCCTTACTCCTTGATGAAGACTTAATTCATTGACCAGACCTGGCTTTGTTCTACTGGACTAATCAGGGCTCATTTGGTTGTAAGGTAGAACCCCAAATCAAACCTACTAAGCAAATGGGGAATTTACTGGCTTGTGACACAAGAGTTTTTGTTCCAGATACATCTGTATCTAGGAGCACAAACCAGGACTTGATCTCTCTCATGATATTGAGGTGCACGTATGTGCATACATGTGCATCGTTGTTCACTTCTCAAATCAGCTTTCTTTTGTACTGACTCCATTTTTAGGCAGGCTGTCCCTGTGGAGCAGCAAGATGCTGACCTGCATTTTCATGCTCCCCTCATAGCAGCAGAAGAAATTCTCTGCCACCAGCTCAAATCCAAATTCCAGAACTGGGTGCTATACTGGTATTTTAGTTCGATGAATCACTGTACCATTCCCAAATCACACGCCTGTCCCCCCAGAACTAGTGGTCAGTTTGTCCAATCTAAACAACATAAATCTTGTGGAGAAGGAGGAGTCACCTGAGGTAAATATGGGTTCAGTTACCAAAGTGAGAAAATGTGGCCATATCCCAAGATATTTTAAAAATATTTGTCCTTAAGAGCCTTTAGAGACAGAATGAACAATAGAAGAAATGCAGTCTCCAACCATTAATTGGAGAAAAGGATTCTGGGTAGACAAAAAATAACAGATGTCCACTGTGAATACATTGTACCATTTCCAAAAATCAAATCCAGCCTCAAAGACAAATTTTGTCACCATTAAGGATGTTCAAAAGAACATTCTCCCTTGAGGGGAAGTCTAAAAGTGTTTCCAGACCAATCACATCACTGAAATAAGCATACAAGTTCTCTGAGGACTTGCCTGAAGGGGCCAGTGCTCATTTATATGTAAGAGTTCTGTCATGTGGAGAAGCCTAATCACTCACATTAATCTGCAGTCACACTTCATACATCTTTCGTGCTGATGAATCATTGCTATGCAAGTGAGTCAGGAAATTTCCTCCGGTCTATTTCTGGTGGGCCCTGGCTTTCATTATCAGTGGCTGCTAACACTGCTTAATAGAAAAAAAAAAAAAGAAAAAAAATTATGCCACCAATTGAAAACAGTTGTGGCAAAACTGGACAGTTCATAGCCTGGGTACTTTATTTTCCCCTACTTAGGGCTGAGCACCTTACCACCTCAAGAATGGCTCCACTCTGACCCATAAGTTGTGACATAAAATGATTTTGGAAACAGTTTATTCTGAGGCAGTCCATGGTATTTATTCCAGATAGTTCCATGTTTCCATGTAGCAATTTGTTAGTTTATGTCTGGAAATGAACAGACTGTACATAGTGCAGGCAGGTTTTTGTAGGGAAATCTTGAAAACACAGGTGACCCAGTGAAACGCCAGATCACCAAGAGAGTTAAAAAGTCAACCTGAAGACATAATGAACTAAAACTAAAGTGATTTTTTGCCCTTTCAGTTAATCTTCTCTCAAATGACCTGGGAATTTTATTTATTTATTCACTTGTGGCTACTTTGATTTTTTAAAAATATTTTTTCACAAGTCCACCAAAGCAAATAAATCCAAAAAATGGGAGAGGATGGTTCAATTCTCCTGAAGGCTGAAATGGATTCTTTTATCTTAAATGATAAGTCACATCAATATGTTTGTTAAAGACTGGGTCACTAATGTCGTGACTTAGAGTGAGACAATCATACAGACTGTCCTCCAGAGCACTCTAACTGGGAATGTGTTCAGCGTCCTTTTTATTTTCTTCATGGAAATCCAAGGATAGTAGCTCCTTGTCCAGTTTACCAGTCGTCTGTGAAAAGCCAAGGGGGCTCAGCTCTCACTCCGCTGAAAAGAGGTTTCAATAGGCTATGTCTCGCCACAAGGGCAACTTCATCCCAGGCATTGCATGTGTCACAAACGTTGACAGTAGGATTGGCAGGGTCTAAAATGAATGGCCTAAAACAAAACAAAACACAAAACTATCCATGTCTGACCTCAGTTTTGATTGTTGTATAGTAAGAAAAGGGGATGTCAGAGTTAAAGAAGGAACGTGGTTAAGAAAAGGGCCCTTGGAAGGATGGAAGCAAGCCCATGGAGGGCTAATACCCATCAGGAAGCAGCATCTTGCTTTTGCCTCCCCACCACAACCCCCCAACACAGACGCCTTCTCATTTTTCCTCTTCACTTCAGGAGGCATTTCCTCCCTGCTTTCCTGTCTTCAATTTCCTCCCCATTTGCCATGTGTATCCACATTTGATTCATTCCACTCAAATTACTCATAATTTACACTTGAGAATTAAAGTTCTGTGAGAAGTAATCAAAGGGAATTGACTCTGTGCTAATTAAGGATTTCTCATTTATAATGAACCACAATAAAGCTATCTTTGCTCCAGACTTTGTTTGTGGATGACAAATATGCTTCTTCTTTCCTAAGGGCACAGAAAAAGATAGTTACCTTGTGTGTTTCTGCTTCACCTTTACAAAAATGGGAAACTTGTGGTGGTAGTGTCTGTGCCAAACAACCTCGATTTCTGCGTATCGAACCAGAAGCTTGAGGACTGCCCTCATTCCCTGCACCAGGCTGAAGAGCAGCGGCTTTCCCGCCAGTTCCCAGATGTGAATGGTGAGGAGCTCCACGGTGTAAGAGGAGGGAAGTCTCCGGAACCTAGACACACAGATGGAAGGGTTGTCTACTTCCCTGGGTTGTCTATTTCCCAGAAAATGAAGACAGATTTATTCAGTTATGAGAAAAATGTAAGCCCAACAGGCAATTTACAGAAGAAGAAATTATATTTTCAATCTCACTGTTTATCAACCAATAATTTTCCACCCAATAGATTGACAAAATATAAAGAATGTGAAATATCCAACGTGGGTGAGTTTGTGAGAAAACAGACACACTCTATTGGTGAGAATGTAAATTAATACAGTCTTTTTTGTAAATTAATACAATCAACTTTATACAAATTTGACATATGCTTCCCTTTATCAGCATTTTCCACTCTATTCCTTCTGTAGAGAATGTGGCTCATCTGACTTGAACACACTCTGGATTTTGAAGACTTATATTTTTAAAAAAGGAAAATATTAATTAATAAGTTTTATATTGATTGCATGTTGAAATGGTAACATTTTTGATATAGTGGACTAAATATATTATTAAAATTAATTTCATCTATTACTTTTTATCTTTCTATATATTGCTACCAGAATAGCTAATATTGCATATGTGGTTTGTATTTGAACCTTACATTCTATTTGTCTTAGCAGTGATCTGTGCTGTGCACTCATTAAAAGAAGGTAGATCTCTAAGATCTCTAGGTACAGATATAAAAAGATATAATATAGATTAAATGAAAAACAATTTTTAAGTGACACATAAACTGCAAAACCCATTTGTCCTTTGTTTCTAAAAAACTAAGCATACATAAAAAACAAATTTGGCGAAATATGTCCTAAATATTCTTAGGGAGATGGGAATTTGGGGTAAAGAAGGAAAATTTTTTTACATTAATCTTTTAAGTTGCAGTTTATGTTACACCAGGGAAAAATGAAATAGAAATTAAAGCTGAGGGTTAAAAACAAACTCATGGGAGAAAATAAAATAGGTGGTTTCAGGATTTTGTGTTGATTGATATCCAAATATGTATTTTTGTTGCCTTGGCATTCATTAGCCATAACAATATCTTTTGAGGATATGTTGCAAAATCAAGCAGTTTTTTTCCCCCAAGCAGAATGGAAATATTTTCATACTATCACTATTGGTCGTTTGTTTTTACTTCAGTAAAGGAAATAAGAAAAACCAGAAGTAAACAACATTTTTTATCCTGGTCATGAAATAACAAACCAGATTTCAGCTGATCAATAATTCAGTTCCTGCAGTACTCCCTTAGGGATTGACAACAACAAACATCAGACTCCAAATCCATCTCCACTGGAACCAGCTAATATTCCCATGAGCCAAAAGGAAACCATGGTTGAAAACCACTCAAGCAGGAGACGCTCTTCATATTCCATGAGAGTAAATGTAGGGGGGAGAAAGACATTTTACGGCATGTTCTCGTGGGTAGTTACATACCTCTAACACTTGTTCTTATTATCCTGTGTTCTATTTGGGCCATTTAACACTGTTTCATTTAACTCTTTCCAGTTGTGTGCAAGTTTATTTGTTCTTCAGGAGCATTTCTGTTGTTCCCAGCTTTCCTTATCATGGGAAGCACAATTCTGAATATATTTATATGAATTCCTTTTTAAAATATGATTTATTTCCCCCAAGGCTGGTTCCCTAGGTATTTCTAAACTCTTTTTTTAAACATTTATTTTTAGTACTCTTTTTTTTATAACATATTTTTAATAAATGGCCTCAACCTTTTTTTGAAACCAAGTAATAAATAAACATTTTTATGTTTTATTGTCACTTTTTTATATAAGAGAATTACCTTGAAAAATGGTTGAGTATTTTAAAATCCTTAACACATAATATTTAATACAACCTTACCAGATTACTTTCCCAAAATAGAAAACCAATTACCATATTATAACATATGTGGTCCAATTTCCCCACAATAACACCTTTTTTAAGTCTTAGAATTATTGTTCTGCTATAGCAATAGATAAGTTTCGTCTTCCAGACCTATAAATGCTCTCCATTAAAAAAAAGAAAGTGTTAGATTTCAAAACCAGTGCTTGTCATCTGACCAAGAATCTTACTTAGGCAAGAAGCTTTATTTCTTTGTTCTTCTGTCCTTCTATCTTTAATAATAAATTTTTACCCAACCAAATGAGAAAAAACATATAGGATGTTTAAAGACGTTTAGAAATAGGAGGAAATTATACAGAAGTAATACATGTTTTTGCAAAGTGACTAATGTTTTCAATGGTAAACCAAAAAATACACAAAGAGTAGAGTGAGTGATTAAGATGAACAAATCAAGATATTAACAACTTTATACAAAGACAAAGAAGACATAGTCCTTGTAGAAAGTACCATATATAAATATGTTATAGTAAATACCTTGTCTCTGCTATTTCTGCCGAATGGAGAATTCATTTCTACATCTTTATGAAAAGTTTATCTTAAAATACTCAGATGAGTCACTGAATCTCCCTCACATCCCTTCATCGTAAGTTAGAGCACATTCCTACCAAAGGCAAGGAAAGATACAAGAACACGCATGTGTCAGCTTTTGAGGACCCCCTTCTCTGAAAGACAACTCTGCCCCTGATAAAACTGGCTAAAGAGGAAAGAACAATAGAGGCTTCAAAGAGTCAACATCCCATTCACATTGTGCTAGTAGTTTCCCTTTTCTTTTTCCTGTGCCTTCCTTCTTTGCCCCAATCCACCTGGTTATTTTTGTTTCTGTTCCTTGGTTCCTACCAAACCATTATGTTGTTTTAGAATAATGTGATACAGATGTCCCATATCCTAGACAGCCCTTTCTCCTTCTCTCTCACTCTCTCCATATATTCCCTCTCCTCTGCCTACCAAGGAAAGAGGTGGGGCCTGGAAGTGTGAAGGAAAGGGATATGAAAAGAGGAAGGCTCCCATGGTGTCCATGTGCTGGTACATACTTATTTTCCTCTGTGGAGTTGGCAAATGATGTCTTGAACCAATGTATCATTAAACGAGTGAGCTCCTTCACCCTTGCCACAGATGCCTTGACAAAATCCACTTGGTATGGCAAGAGGGCCAAGGCACACAGCTGCGCCATGTCACTGTCATCACAGAGGTACAGTCTGCGATAAAGGTGAAGTTTTAAATCTGTTGACAGCAAGGATCAAAGACCATTGTGAGTATGTGCTCCCTCCTCTCCTTTCTTGGTTTCCCCTGATACAATGTTACCCTGATTAATTAGACCTTGGTCGTTTAAAACAAAACTTTCTTTTTTTTTTTCTTAGGAAAGTTGTTCCAGTTTGCCCAAGTCATTAAAAGAGAAAGCTTCAACATCATGATCCCGGAGCAGATCAAATTGAGCAAACTCTGCTAGGAGCAACTCTGATGAGGCAGATTTTCTGTCTATTCTCAGAGGAAGTTTATTTCCAGAAGCAGATTTCATTACCTTACTTCAAATATCATCTACATATAAGCTAAATGTCATCAGGCTCTCTCAACAATAACCTATATAAACCCCCTTGTTTCGTATCTAAATTGTTTCTGTTTGTACCCATACTTGCAGAAGGGATTCTACCACCTGGACTCTTGAGGGAACTTATTCTATTTATAAGGGTAGAGAAGATTTAAAGATGTGTTAAGTCAAATTTAAAACAAATAATCCACTTCAGTTAACTGTATAAAGAGGGAGGAAAACTAGATTAAATGGCAAGAATGATCAAATAATCATCTGTAGACTTACTACTACAATCTCATAAAACATCAACTCAGGTTGTGCTTACTCTACTTGTAGGAAATATAAATGTTTAGTATCTTTGATCATAATCTATTTAAATTTTCCCAATTCAACATAATTTGAACTTCTTTTTTTTTCTTTTTCAAGATTTTATTTATTTATTTGACAGAAAGAGAGAGAGAGACAGCATGCACGCATAAGCAGGTGGAGCGGCAGAGAGAAAGAGGGGGAAGCAGGCTCTGCGCTGAGCAGGGAGCCCGATGCAGGGCTCGATCCCAGGACCCCGGGATCATGACCTGAGCCAAAGGCAGATGCGTAACCGACTGAGCCACCCAGGCGCCCCCATAATTTGAATTTCTAATATGATTTTATTTTGGATAGCCCTTATACATACCTATCCTTCTGCCCAACTAAATTGTCCTACAATGACACCCTTGTTAATTATGGCAAATTTTGAATCTACAATACATATTTTAAAGTTAACTGGCCAGGGACTTATTTAACTTATAAAATAGATTTTACAAAAAATAACATATATGCCTTGATCTAGAGTCCTAATTTCAAGCATATCTATACAGCCTTTTCATACTGGTCCAGTTGTTCAGGGTCAAATCAGAGTTCTAAAGTAGGTTGATTATCAACAGATTAGAGAGTAAAATCAAATTCCTATGACAAACGTAAGCAAATAGAGTTACATATGGCAAATATTCTTTCCAAGGCATATTATAACACACATATTTTAGCTCCGAACTTTCTAAGCCACAATCGTTAGAACAACTTCCAAAAGACATTTCGGTTCTACCGGGAGGCTCTCTGCCTTTCTTAGCAATCAGACTGGGACAGAAACTCAAGATTTATGATGATAAAGAGAAAAGAAACAATAATTTAACTCAAATTTTGGTATTCAATAGGTATGGCAGGTATTTGATGACCTACTCTAGCTGATAAGATATCCTAGCTGACCCAGGGATTATCTACTCAAAGCTACTACTGTATCAACATTTACTCTCCTTCAAAGTTCCTCATGGGCAGGAACCCAAGTTAGAGGTCTCTAACTTATTTTTGAGGCTTATAATTTTTTGTTTCTTCTCTGTGTGACTTAGGTGAGTTTATTAAGCCTTATTTTATCATCATCCTATCATAGCCACCACTTGTAAAGCAGGAATACTTGGCTCCCTTGCTTTGAATCAAATGCGATTCTAAGTGCTTAATAATTATTAACACATTTACTCTTCGACATCCCAGAGATGCAGGAACTATGATTCTCGCCAGCGTGTAAGTGAGGAAGTAGAGTCCAAGAGGTTAAGTAGGTTGCGCAAAGTCAGCATGGCTGGGAAGTTAAGCCATCTGTTGTCACCTTACTGCCCTCTATTGCAGGTTGGATCTGAGCCCAAATGTTTCCTAACTGGTGGCTAATTCAGGTGTTCTCACACTTTAATGAGTACGGGAATCATGTGGGAATCTTTTGAAAGGCAGTTTCTCATTTAGAAGGTCTGGGATGGAGCCCAAGATTCTGTATTTCTGGCACATTCCCAAGGGACGCTGGTAGAGCTGGTCTGAGTATCCTATCTGGAGCAGAAATGTTATCAATCAGATCTCGTCAGGTCTCCCGGCTCTGGGCTGCATTGTGGCACACGGGCCGTGCTATTAATTGTTCAGCGCATACGTAAGATGTGCAGGGAATAACAACAAGATGCCTATGAAGATTTGAGGCGATCATCGGAGTCTTGTTCTGACAATTATTAGTAACATAGAGCTGCCCACTAAAATTCCTTGAAATCCTAGGACTTGTTGGAGTTGCTGGACTCTTGTTGTTCTATAAAACCCACTCCCTAACCTCAGTGGAGAGAAGCGGGGCTACATAGTAATTTCAGGCTTTTTCAATTCATTTCACACAGCTGTGCTCAAGAACTTAGGGGACTTAAAAGCCAGTGTAAAAACATGCTTCTTCTCCTCTGGGGGACATTTTCACCTGAGAGCTACTGATATAGCCTCAAATCCTCAAGACAATTACCCAGGAGCTGCTGTTAGCTAACCACTGTGCTTTTGAAGTCTGCACCAAAGAGAAAGAAAGCAATTTGCACAAATATGAGAGCATGGTGAGCCTATGGTAAGACTTAAAGGGATAGAATTACTTAAAAAAAAAAAAATTCATTGTACTAAGTATTTTGCTACATGATTTCAAATTAAATCTCATTATTATAATTCTTGCAACTATCTCTATTTTATAGATGAAAAAAAAATGAGGCTTGAGAGTTTTATAGGACTTACCTAAGGTCTCATAGGTAATATGAAATAGATCTGGGATTTAGCCTCAAGCCCAGGGTGTTCTCTCCATTACAGAACTTGGAGGTTGTTATCAGTCTACATGGGTCCTAGACAGTCTGAAGGCCCTGGATTGACAACCCAGCCCCTTTATGTACTGATGACATAACTGTGGGGTAAGTTGCTTACATTTTCTAAGGCTCAATTTTTTAAAATATTGAAACTGGAGATAGTATCTTTCTTTTAGGTTTTTAGTGCAAGTCAAATGGGATCATTTATTCAGATTTTAACTTAAGCAAGGAGAATTATATATGGCATATAATGGGTGCTGGATACATCACAGCATTTCAAAAAATCTGACAGGATCAGCAAGATTATAAGAGCCAAGAGGACTTAATAAAACTGCAGGATAGCCTAAGAGTCCACATTCCCTTTCCCAGCACCCTGTCTTATTTCAGAGTTCCCCATACTTTTGTCTTATTATAGGTGATGTTATAGTAAAATGACCTATGTATGTATCTGTTTTCCCCTCTAGACTATAAACCTCATTGGGTCTTATTCATGTTTACAACCCCAGTGCTAATAGCTTCTAGAAGGTGGCAAGCATGCAATATATGTAATTTTAACATGAGCAGCACACTGTCCAACAGTATTGATAAGTAAAAGAACTAGATCAAGAAAGTCAACATATTCCTTTGGAGTGTGGCTGAGAGGGTAGGACCAATGTTATATGTATTCATTCCCTTTATTCCATAAGCAGTTATTGAATAAAACAGTGCCAGAGGGGCACCTGGGTACAGAGGGTTAAGCCTCTGCCTTTGGCTCAGGTCATGGTCTCAGGGTCCTGGGATGGAGCCCTACATCAGACTCTCTGCTCAGCAGGGAGTCTGCTTCCCTCTCTCTCTCTGCCTGCCTCTCTGCCTACTTGTGATCTCTGTCTGTCAAATAAATAAATAAAATCTAAAAAAAAAATTAAAACAAAAACAGTGCCAGGCAAAAAGAAAAAGCTTATGCTCACGGAGCTCAAAATACTGTAGGAAGCCAAACCTGTGCACAGTGACAATACAGGAAGACCGCGCTGCGGCAGTGATACAAGGAGAAAGGAGAAAAGCACAAGAGGCAGGTCCAGGAAAGATTAGAGAAGGAAGTTGAGCTGACACTGAGCTGAGTCTTGAAAGGTAAGCAGAAACTACAAGGCAGAGTGTAGGATGGGACCAGTTTAGAAAAGTATACCATTAGGGGTGCCTGGCTGGCTCAGACAGGAGAGCTTATGACTCTTGATCTCAGGGCCATGAGTTCAAGAACCCCACATTGGGTAGAGCAATTATTTAAATAAACTTAAAAAAAAATAAAGAAAAATGTATCAATGGAAACAGTGTGCGAAGACATAGAGATGGGAGAGAGCATGGAGCTTTAGGAAAAACAGATACTTCAGGGTTACTGGGCTCATGAATCTCTTGCCTACAAAATGTGAGCTCCAAAAGAACAAAAATCTTGATCTCCTATCTAATCCATTATAAGTATTTAAGAGCACAGGGTAGATATTCCACAAATAATAGTCCAAAGAGATAAATAACAATGAAAATATTTAATATGTCCTGATAAACTGCAGAAGAATCACTGACCATGTATTGGCTCATGGCAATTTGGCAATTTGTTTCCACCTATTGCCTCAAAGAGAATACACACACACACACACACACACACACACATACTTCTATATGTATATATATGTATACAAGAATATACATGTTCTTCACGCAGAAGCCTAGATTCAAGTCCCAAGTTCTCTGGAGAATATATTTACATCTATATAAATCACTTAGTCATCTGGGCCTCTTCCTGGGCTACTATAACAAAATACCACAGACCAGATGGCTTAAACAACAGAAATATATTTTTCCACGTTTCTGGAGACTGAGAAGTGCTGAGAAGGTCAAGGTGCTGGTAGATTTGGTTCCTGGTGATAGACCTCCTCCTGGTATGCAGTGGGCGGCCTTCTTGTTGTCACATGGCCCAGAGAGGAAGCTCGGAGATCTCCTCTTCTTCTCAGGACGCTAATCCCATCAAGGAGTCCCTAGTCCCATGACCTCATCTAAATCTGACTACCTCCTAAAGGCCTCTCATCACAATACCGTCACACTGGGGTTAGGGCTTCTATAGGTGAATTCGGAGGGGCCCATGACAGGGCCTTCGTCTTCTTGCCTAATGGAGATACTTTATCCTCCCTTTTTATACATCTGACTAAATTTTACATTTCATATCTCATTCTAGATACCACAACTTCTTATGGATAAACGTTAACATCACAATGGCCATAACAATGTCATTCTATGACTCTGTCCTTCTCATTTTGCATTTCCTGAAGGAGTTCCCTCAGATTCCTCCCCTATCTAAGATGCCCCCATCGACTAGCTCACACGTGTTTGTAGACTCTTCCTTTCCATACCACATGCTATTTGTCATTACCATCTTCTCTGGATCTTTTGCGTGGTCCAATGTCTTCTATGGCTGCTGTTACCAGAAGTATTGAGGGTCCTACTGAAAACAGTAATGCCATCAGGGTGGTCGTGCTTGCCAAAGGCACAACCATTTCTGCCAGTACCAGGAAAGTAAGAGCATCAAAGAGAGAGGGCTGTTCTTGCCTCTTCTCAAGGCAGAGTGAGGGTGCCTCTTGACTACTCAGTCCCTCTGGACGCCTTCCTCACACCACAATAGCCCCAGAGCTACACTCTACCACTCAGGCTGCAAAGCTGGGCTGACTTGAGCTCTGGCTACCATAGCAGATAGCCAGAAAACTGCTCTTCCAGTTTTCACTCAAAATTTTTTGAAATCTTCCTCCAAGAGAAAGGGAGGGGCATGCATCCACTGGTGCTAAGTATTAAGCCCCTCTCTCTTCAACAATGATCTGTTGAGTTTGGGCTAAATTTGTATTTCTAACCCATCTCTCCCCCTGGAGGAGACTCATTCATCCTCCTGAGTTTCCCTGATGTGTGAGTGAATCCTGGTGCAAATTCAACTTAGGCTCAAAAAGGGATTCTTGAGCTCTTTCTCTACTCCATTATACCAGACAAATAGTCAATCCTTGATCACACTTCTTAAATTAAAAACTGGTGGCATACAGATACATGGTGTTCACGTGCTATAGAAAAGTGCCTCCATGTTCCAGCTCTACTATAAGCAGTCTGGTTCCCTATGCCTCAATCAGTATGGTGTCCAGGATGCTCAGCCCTCCTAAATACAATCCGAAAAGGCACCCATTTTAAGGCTTCCTGTGAAACAAAACAAATATATCTCACCTGTGGAGGGGGCAGGCCCCAGGATGTCACAGTAGGCCATGATCTCAAAGGAATGACTGTGAAGACCTTCCGTACATACAAAACTGAATCTTAAACACAATGGTGCTCTCTTTCCCATTAGGATCCTTAAAAAAGGAATATGACATGGCATGAGAAAGAATAGAGAGAGAATGAAACACAAGATGATTTTCAACCATCCTTCCCCTTACTCTACCCCTGCTACTCTCTTGACTATTTCTTGAACATTCCAGAAATGTTCCCTCCTCAGGGTCTTTGCAATTGTTGTTCCTATACCTATAATACACTCACTGAAGATGATCCACATGGTTTCAGCACTGGCTTTATTCAGGTCTCTGCTGCACCAGTTGGCCTTTCCTGGCCACCCTTTAAAACAAGAGCTCCCTCCCTGTTTCCTGCCCCCCTTATCCTGCTTGATGATTCTTTACAACATTTAGTTACCACTTGGAATTATATTATTTGCTTATTTCTCTCACACTTGGGTATTAGTTAAACAAAGGCAGGAGCTGTATATATTTTCTTCACTCCCCTGTCCCTAGAAACTGACACATAATAGGTGATTAACAAGTAATTTAAATGAATTAACATCTGAATATGGACTGAGGCACAAGATATAGCCAATCATGAACATGATGAAGTAAAATATTTTAAAGAAAGCTGGCTTCTACTTCTGGGTATAATGGAGTAGTTTATAAAAGACTGATGCTCAATAAGAACAACCAGAAAATTAGATTTTAAAAACCATGTGTATGGGGTGCCTGGGTAGCTCAGGGGGTTAAAGCCTCGGCTTTTGGCTCAGGTCCTGATCCCAGTATCCTCGGATCAATCCCCACATCAGGCTCTCTGCTCAGTGGGGAGCTTGTTTCCTCCTCTCTCTCTCCCTCTGCCTGCCTCTCTCTGCCTACTTGTGATATCTATCTGTCAAATAAATAAATAAAATCTTTTAATAAATAAATAAATAAATAAATAACCATGTGTAGGCATATTTGAGAGGCACCAGGTAGTTGAAGCTAGAGAGGCTGAGGTCTGGTGAGGGTGGGGACAGCAGACCATGAACAGATGGGCGTATACTCTGCTGCTTTCTTTCTGGGGACATACATTGATTTGGGGAATAGGTTAGAGGATGAAAACATGGATTTTGTTTGGGCAAAGAGAAGCTGCTGGGGTTAAAGAAACCAGCAGAACCCTGCCAAGCTCCTGGGGCTAACCAATGTGGAGAGACTTGGAGACCACAATCCTGATGAAAAGGGAACAGTGGAGAGTTGAACCTGAAATATGACCTTTTCTTCTCCCTCCAAACGTCTGCTGAATTCTAAAGATGCTTGGGACAGGTATGGTTAAAGAAACAAAGCAGGACGTCTTGAAGAGTTGAATGGGATTGTTGACAGTCTTACTGGGTTGAGACAACATGGATTAGGGTTCAGTCTCAAGGGCTGAGGTGACAAGGACTAGTGGGGAGTTCCTGACAAACATACCAAGCTGTAACAGTGGTCCATTAACTTGGCCACATGGTAGAATCACCTGGGGATCCTTAAAATATACCAATGCTTTTGCCTCCACACATTTTTTTTTTTTTTTTTTGGATGGGTATGAGGTGTGACATGGATAATCAACTCTTACTCTATTTGGTGAAGAAAGAAACAGTAAAGCCTCATTGGAAAAAGAACATACCCTGGTGCAACTAAGATTTTTTATGCACGGTGTCCTGGCTTTAATCTTTAAAAAATCACTAGAAATTCCAAGAGATAGAGCTATGGGAGACATGGCCATAGGTGTGTGAAGCGTACTCTTGTGGATACCAGAGAGTTTGAATGAAGTATTAGATCTACTGAGGAATTCAGAGTTCTAGAATGGGCCAATATTAAAGAGAATGCCAGTACTCTCTTATGCTACCCTGCATGTATCTTACTCTCCAATGAATATCCCAAAAGATTTTTGCAAATATTATTAGTAGAAATGAGGCACGAGTCACAGCAGGGTCTGCTCATAAATCCTCAGGTGATATTATTTCCCATTCTGTTCTTGTCAGCCCAGTCCCTGAACAGGTCTTGTCTTGTCCGTGTCTTATTAAGACAATGCCTGCGATGTCCTGCGATGTGGCTCTGAAAAACTATTTCTCGGAGGAGAGCCTTAAGATGCTCTGACTGGATAATATAACGAAACGGAGATTCTTGTTTTCAAAACCTCTAAATCAAAGCCATAAGAGATAATGGGGAGAACTCCCCATTATAACCATAACCATTATAGGCATGACGCATATTTTATAGCTGTGTCTCCTTAAAAGCTGAGAGTATGTTTTCCTGTTGTGGTATTTTAATAATAAACACACTGACATGTAAAGAGAGGAGCACAGTTCCTCTGGCGTATGATTTTCAGTACCTTGGGCTTAATGGGAAAGTCTCCTGAGATTTCATTCACAAGCAGGGCCCAGCAAACGACTGACACAGAACAGTTGCTGTTACTGGTAGGTTAAGACATAGAACAGTTTCAAAGGAAAAGAAAGAGTTGTGTTTTTTTTTTTTTTCCTCACACCCATCTCTCAAAATAAAGTCACTGAATAGCTTTAAAAATAATAGCAACAAACAATATATCACCAAAAACCAGGCATCAACTGAAACAATAAACTCTATACTCTCAGTGGGTGGGAGTCTAAACCAACTGTCAGACCCACATATCTGCTTCTTTTCCATGTTTAATTCAATTTTCCCTTCAAATGAATTGCGATATGGTCTCAGTTGCTCTGAGTAGTGGAGAAGAAAGCCCCCCAAAACACCTGTTGCACACAGATCTCGGCATAGACCAACACCTTCGACAACCTGCTTCCTTCCCTGCCTCCAGGGTCCTTCCTCAGTTTGCCTTGAAGCCTCATTCCTCAGCAAATACGATCCTATTCAGCAAAATAAAACATGGGCTAAAACGGATTCTGGGCTGAATTAAAGCAATTCAGTCCCTAGAAAAGTCACTTGGGGGAAGAGAAAATGAATAGGCACTTAACAGGTGCAAAGGAAAGACAGTGGTTACCTGGGAATTCGGTTCAACCTTAAAGGGTTTCAATTAAATTATTTGATGAGTTGAAAGAATAGAAGGAACACAGATGAGAAAGTGAGTTTGCTTGTTCTTAGTGAGGAACAATTAGAGTAAATGAACCAAGGTTTTCAGGGCTGTTATTTTTCATGGGCTTTACTTCAAAACTCATTCTGGAAATCTAAAAAGTAAAGACCTTCAAGGACTGGTTTTGGGGGTTTTGTTTGTTTGTTTTACTTTGTTTTGTTTTGTTTTGTTTTTCCAGGAAAAGGGCACCTGAGTTGTGGAGGAGGGGAAAAAGGTTTAGGGAGAGTGTGTCCATAAGGTTCTTTGAAGTTGGGTGGGCGAGGAGTATAGAAAAAGGACCTAACAATGAAAAACAAATATTTTGATTCCAAATAAGGTCAACATGGAAAGCATATAGCCTAACTCTTATTTTTAATGTTCCTTTAGAGTACATTAACATTCTGTTTTGATAAATAATAATAACAATGGTATAATGTACCATATAGTTTACAAATTTAATGGGGAAAACTTGGAAGAAGCAATGGATAAAATGAAAAACACATTCTCCCATTTCTCCTTTTTGTTTTCTTTTGTCTTAAAGGTGGTCTTTCTCCATTCAAAGTGTAATCATATGTGAAACTCCATCATTTCCCTTTCTGCCTTTCCAACCCAATGGACTTCATTACAGTTACCATCATGCCATTCATCTGACGTCTTTTGCTAACTGCCACAATTTAGTAGGTGTTTGGTATTCCTGAAGGTAGTGTTTTTCAATAAAAGGCACATTCAAGCTACTTCTCTACACTCAGTTGAAGCAAGGACTTGGTAATGAATCTATTATTTAAATTAAGAAACAGTTCTGAGACACTGTTTTAAAACGCTGATCTTATTTTCACATCCAAGCGGCACCTAGCTTGGTTTGTTTTACTCAGGAGAACTGCTTTCTTCATTTTATAACACAGATATTTGCATTTTTCTTCAACCACAATTCACTAGACTGGAAAAAGTAACAGGTGATATAAAAATAAAATAGAAAAATAAATAACAAGTCAAGCCTTTTTCATTTCTTTCTTTTTCTCTTTTTGGAACTTACCAAAACACACACACACACACACACACACACACACACAATCCAGGCCTGATTAGTTCAACATTTGGAGCAAAGAGGAGACATTGTGCGTAATGTCAGCAAAGCCACATCAGCAAGAGACCCCAGGATACCGCTGAAGGGAATGTTTATCAGACAAATGTGTCTCAAAGATTCTTGGTACTTGGAGGCACCTTTCCCACCCCTTCCTGTTTGCATTCCTCAGAGTCAGATTTCAGCTAAGGGGATGGAAATTAAATAAAGGTGCATTGGAGAAGACATAATTAGTCCTTAAATCATAAGATCTCAAATTCATGAACTTTCATTGGAAGTTTATCTAAAAGTCTTTAAAAAAAAAATGCCTCTGAGGCAATCTCTCCAAATTTCCTCCTAGGAATTTAATGTTAGCATACACAAGTAATTATTATTTAATAATGCCCTTTTGTGTCAAGCTAAGAGTTTTCCTTAGCTGACTTTTCCACCTATGGAACAAGAGAATTCACAGTAACCCCTTCACCCAGACCTGTTTCCATGTGAAGTTTGCTTCAAGTTTTCTCTCAGAGCGTCCAACCCTTCTGTCAGTTGTTTCTTGCAATGGTTCACACCGGCAAACACATCACTGAACAACACGATGTCAATCTCAGAGCATCCTTGAGTATCAGTCCCCTTTATGTAAGAACCACCCTGTGAAGACAAACGATACAATGTAGGTAAAACCAAACTAACCCGGAGAGAAGCACAGATTTCAAGTTGTAGCATTTTAGGGTCAATTAACATTGTGGAATAGCTCAAATATGTGCAGTTGAGCCCCACTCACCCTGAAAGAAGAAAAAGAAAAGGAGGAAGGAATCTATCATGGTCTACTGAGAACTGAGCCTCGCCTATGAAAAAGGAAGTATTCTTTGCAGAAAAAAGCCTGAAAATCCTTGGGAAGACTTAGCACCACAAGTTCTTAGACTCTTTCTGCTTGGGAGCCACTGGCCTGGGGCAGAAATCAAATTTGCCACGGTATAGTCCAAAGCTCACAATGGCAGCCCTCAGTGAACACCCAGACAGGCAGCCCCAGCCCTAAGTGTCCTAACAAACCGGACCCATGAGAGTTGTAACCGGAAGTGACTACCATTCCTGGTAGATGTTCATTTACTCTGCTTCTAAATAGATCTCGAATGATTTTTAATAAAATGTTCTGTAATAATAATACATTATATGTTAATAAAAAATTTAAAAATGTCCTGTAATTAATGAGATTTTACTTCGGATCTCTTGCTAAATGTAATTTTATAAAAGTTAAAATGTTAAGTAATTAACAGTACATTGTTGCCTTCTTTAGCACTCAAGGAAAATGTAGGTTGCCAGTTCCCAAAGGAATCTGTCAGTAAAAGAAGGCTGTTACCTATGATTTGGGAACCATAATGTCCCAAATGAGGCAAAAGCAGTCTGTCAAAGGAGGACCGTGACACACAATGGGACAGCGCACTTTCACGTGACATTGGAAAGCATTCCAGGGTTTGACTCCAGCATCGTTCTCTATCTGCTAGTCATGAGGACTAACTCTAGTGGGTGCCTTGTGTCCCCGTCTCTCCCATCCCGACTGTTCTTAACACAGTTCTCACTAGTGCAATTAATTTATGAAACCTATTTCCCATTAGAAATTATAGTGACAAAGGAATACGAGAAATGGCGTTTTGAGCAGTCTTAACCCAAGAGTTCTCAACACACTAATGTGTACGGTCAGTCTCCAAGAATGGGATAAATGGCACAACAATTCTGCAGCTTAATCAAACAGTGGCCTTTGTTTTGAGCGAGTGTCGTACAGGTCCAGAATTGAACACTGGCTCCCAATATCCAGCTCTGTGTCCACACCTCATCTCTGTAGAAGAAAATACAACATTCGTATGCAGGCTTTTGTCATAACTATCTTCAGGAAGAATTGAATCATACTCAAGTCATATTTGCGATTGAGTTACATTAAAAAATCACTTCTTATTTCAAATGAATGCATGGCTTAAGGATGATTTTATAACAATTACATGTGTACTTGGGGGCACCTTTTAAAATTCTTTTTTATTTATTTTTTAAGTAATGTCTACACTCTTCCACAGGCTCAAGCTCATGACCCCGAGATTAAGAGTCTCCTATTCTACCTACTGAGCCAGGCAGGATCCCCTATCTGTGCATTTTTAAGTGAAGGAGCAGAAAAATTATTGGAATGAAAGGCCCTCAGGACTGCCCTACATTGTTTCTCTAAAAACTGATTCAAAAGTATGCACTGATGGTATTAATGTTAACAATAATAATAACAATAGGGAGAAAACCATATCATCCTGGTCATTGGGATCCCTTTTTGCTCAGGAAATCTTCTGTGCTCTGTGGACAGCCATTCCTGGACACACAGAGCTGTCTTTAGGTTGACAGGGAGCCCATCGGGGCAGCACCTAATTACAGGCAGACTGCTCAGCCATGAAACAGGGCCCAGGGGGACAGGCTCACCTCCTTTGCCTGAAAGTCCCTTAAGCATTTACAAACATCGGTCAAGTGTGAGCCAGTTCCCTGGTCCTGCCGATGTAAAGGCGCTTTCATCCCTTGGGCAAAAATCGCCAACCCTAATGGGCTCCAGATGTTGTGTGGGTGCGTGCCTGCTCCAGCAGCCTGAAGCCTTCCCTGGCATTTCAAAGGGCTCCTTGCAGGCCGTGTCACCCCACGCAGGAGGCAACACTGGCCTTTGGACACGTGACCTTGCCCGGTTGATGTGCGTTACCCCCATGAGAGAAAAATGGCTTCCGTGGGGCTGTGTGGCCTGGCCACAGGGCTGGGGGCTCAGATTACCTGGATCACTCGGGAGGTCGGCACTGGAAAGCAAGCCTGGATCCTCGTGAGCAGGGCCCCGATCTCAGCCACACAGGCAGCGTTCCGAGGACCTGAGGCTGGGCGGATATTTTCATCTGCAAATCTCTGTAGCTCTTGGGGACTCTTACACTCCAACATATGATGAGGTGAAAATCCTATAGACATTCGGGCTGTACAGAGAAATAACTAGGATTTCATACTCGCTGCACAGAAATAGATGTGTGTCAAAGGCAAGAATCTAATTTTACATGCAAATTCTGTCTAGTTAACCCCCAGGACTACCTAGCTGTGATAACGGGGAGACTGACTCTGCTTGCTGGTAAAGCATCAGGTGAACACCAAACGTCACCCCCTCTAGACTTAGCTGACATTTAACACTAGGTCTTTATAGAAGAATGGCTGAATTTCTTAGAAAACAGATATTCCAACCGTTCTCTGTGAGAGAAAAAAAAATCTTTTGTTCCAGTCGATGAAATCATTTAAAGTTTCTAAATGAAAAACATGTATGTTAACAAGTTTCAACAAAATGATCCCAGGGTACAGAATTCCAAATTCCATCTATTAAAAGTCTGAAACTAGCAGCCCACAGGCCATATTCTGCCTCCAGAATGTTTGGTTTGGCCTGCACGGTGCTTTCAAAAAGAAAAAACTAAGCCAACATGTAGAAATCTGGAGATAGTGCATTATTTTTAAAGGGGGACATCGTAGGTGTGTGGGGTTTTTGTTTGTTTTGAGCCAGAAATGCTGACAAGACTGACCCCACCTTCAGAAGAAGAAAGTGAACACTGAATTGCTAGGTTCAGTGAAAGGGACATGTGAACTAAACTGACAACAGACAGAGTCACAGGAGAAGAGGCATACACATTTTATCACTGTTAACATTTTTTTAAAATATGCACAGAATTCTTTACAGAAAAGAACTCAAAGTAGCTATGAGACCTGGGGGCTTGTACATCACTTGTACAAAGTATAATAAATTGGAGATAAGTGACTAGACAAAGGGAAGAAGGTTTGGGGCTTCTAAGGCCAATAAATTGTGGGAAAGTGACTAGGAAATATAAAAGGGGAACTAATGGCAGATAAAGGTTATAAAGGTTTACTTGTTTATGAAGACTCATATGCCATCTGTCTCTAGGTCTCCAGTGATAAAGGCTACTCTTCTGGTCCTGGTCCAGGGGAGGGGGTGACCACTGGCTTGTTTTTAGGTAGGGAAAGCAGAGTGTTCTTGGTTTTCCTGTTTCCCAACTGCCTCACCTCCAAATAATCAATACACCAAATTGGCATAATTTGGGGTAGCATATCCTGAGCCCCTTCAACAGCAAAGAAACTTTCATAATTTCTGCATTGGATGGACCAGGGGGAAAAAAAAAATCCCTGAGTATCTGCAATCACAAAGTGTCCCTCAATCAGGTTCATACAACCAATTCATATTAGCACTGAGAATTCATTTTAGATTGGCCGCTGGCTAGAAGAGAGCTCAAGTGCCTTAAAGCATTCACTAATGCTCTCTGGGAATGAACTTCCTCCTCAAGCATGCATAGAACATTCACAAGAATTGAATATATACTCAGCTACCAATAAAACCCAGCACGTGCCAGAGAACTAATGTCCCACAGATTACATTCTCTGGCCACTATGCAATTAAATGAGAAGCCAATAATAAAATAACAAAAAATACTTCAAGCTTTAAGGAATTTTAAGAACCACAGACTTTAAATAAATCATGGATCCCAGAAAAAATCATAATGGAAATCAGAACATACTCAGAACTAACCAGTAATAAGAAACTTGTATCAGCACTCAAGGGATACAGAGCCCCTTGGTTAAGCTTTGTCAATTAAGCCAAGTTAACAGATTGTTGGTTTTGTTGTTGTTGTTGTTTTGACACTTTGATTCTTCAGCTTGAAACATAATATCCAATTTATATACTACTCCCTTTAGGGAAAGTTCATCAAAAAATGATTACTTTTCAGTGACACCTGTGTATCCAGAATCAATTACTACTTCCTGGAAAAAGTTTTATTTATTAAGAGCCTTTCAGAGAGCAGCTGTCACCAGTTAGTTTAGAGGACAGACCGCGCATATGAGAGCAAAAATGTGTTAAGATCTTCGTGCTGTGGTTTATCTTGTTTTTGACATCGATAAACCATAACTTGACTCCCACCTGAATTCCTGACATGGTTCCACTTTTGACTGCAAGCCCACAGAATTGTGCTGTATTGTCTCTCTGAATGATACCTTGGCTTTCCAGCTTCTTCTTCAAATTTGGCTTGGCAAAATTATTCTTCATCCCTGCCACCCCAAAAGCGTGTAGTTCCAAGCCACACCCTGGTTCCATCCTCCGTTCTCTATTTCCTATTCCTGGAAGCAACCCTAAAGCCTTGCGCTGAGGGAAAACCAAAATATGGTTTCCACGTTGCATAAATATACACAGAAGGAAAGAGCGAGGCATCTTTTTTACCTCTTTTACCGGCTGTGAATCGATGCTCCTGTAGTTCATGGTTCTCCCGACTAAGGATTGTTCCAAAGCGCCTTGAACACATCCTACAGGTTTTTGATATTTCTGTAGCCATATGCTTTATATTCCTTTCTTCTAGATTTTCCCAGCTGAGCTTGTGTGTCTGCATGGTTGACCTCTCATGTACAGACTGAGAAAAAGTAAACACATAACATAGGAATTACAGGAGCTGTTTGAAAGGTCTCCTCGTCTTCATTTGGCTTCTGACTAAATGCTCTCAATCATGAGCAGAGAGATTCTCATTCTGTTTCCTAAACACAGCAAAGCCCATTCATTCTTTAGATATAGATGGAACACTGCTGTAGTTTTTTTTTTTTTTTTTTTTAAGATCTTATTTATTTATTTGACAGAGAAAGCACAAATAGGCAGAGAAGGCAGAAGGAGAAAGAGCAGAAAGCCCAACATGGTGCTTGATCACAGGAACCTGGGACCATGACCAGAGCGGAAGGCAGACACTTAACTGACTGAGCCACCCAGGCGCCCCTGAATACTGCTATAGATTAATAAATGAACCATGAAAACCACAGTGCTGAAAAAAGGGTACTTTTTTTTTTTTTTAAGCACTAGGTTTTGTTTTATAAAATCAGAAGAATGACATACTGGCTCTTTTTCTGACATTTACTATTTGGAGACTTTGGGCAAATCATTTTCCCTAATTGGGTCTCTGCTCCCTTATTTGTGAAAGGGAGAGGAGGAAGGTGAGAAGTATATACATGTACCTCTAAGGCTACACTGAAAGTAAAAATTCTAGAACTGTGAGAATCCCAACACGTCACAAGCATTTTGGAATAATAATTACAACCACAGCAGCTGCTCTGAATACAACACTTGTGTCCAGTGAATTCTGCTGAGCAACCTTAACAAGGGGAAGCCCAAGGAGATGGATATTTCCTAGCGGACACTGAAAAGTATGCCTTCCTGCTGCATCCCACCACCTGGCCTATGGCCACGAGCTCTGTTCTAATTTTATGTCTCCTGTCAACAAATCTCCATGAAAAGAATTAAAAACCAAATAAAAAGCAGGAGTGCTTTCCCCACTTGTACCTCATTGTGATGCTGCAGTCTTTCCCTTGGGACTTCGCGGCCACATTCTTCGCAGTGAACTTTTCCAAAATGCTTCTGTCGAAAGTGATACTTCAGAGCCTTGCAGCTGACAAAATCACTCCCACAGCACTCACACTTATAGCATTTAAGAGCCCACATCCTCTCCCAGTGAAGTAGTAGATGTGGATCCTGCTGATGACAAAAACAAAAAGCATAAGCCCTTTGAAGAAAATCTAGCCCCTGCAGTTAACTAGAACACAGATGTTACTTCTAGTGCACTAATTTGTGCTCAGTCCCAGGAGTGTCTTCTAAGAAGTTTCTCCCTCACTAAAATCAAACACAATACTTATTTAGATGAGCTGTTTGTAAAAAATTGGGCATGTAAACAGGAAGGAAGCTGTAACATCAGTAAAACCAAATGCAAAATCGTGTCTAGGTATATATGCCCAGTCTTCTAAAAAGGATCTCAAGTGAGTCTGTGACCCAAAAGACATTAGCATCTGCTCTTTTAGACGCGCTCTTTACTCAAGGATTCTCCAAGAGCCATCGTTTCTTCAATTTTTACCACCCCCTGAATCCCATATTTGAGAAAATTATCATGCGTAATGATTTAGACATGTCTTTTGAATCACTCCCTGGACTTTTAAAAGTAGTTAGAAACAGACAAAGAATAGAAGTTTGTACCAAGAGACACAGTAAGGTAGATGTCCAGGATTCCGGTCTCCAGCAGGCTGCTCCTGAAACGGTTTGTTTTTCTGGTTGCCAAGTAACTCTGCTTGCATTGGTAAAGCTGGTTCTGAAGCTTAGACTTCCTTTCTCAGAGGTTAGAAGTCCGTGATTTATAGTTACCAGTGTCTTGACAATTGATTAGATCCAACTTCTATTTTGATTTTTTTAAAGATGTATTTATTTTATTATTTTTTTAAAAGATTTTATTTATTTATTTGACAGAGATCACCAGCACGAAGAGAGGCAGGCAGAGAGAAAAGGGGAAGCAGGCTCCCTGCTGAGCAGAGAGCCCAATGCGGGGCTCGATCCTAGGACCCTGAGATCATGACCTGAGCCGAAGGCAGAGGCTTTAACCCACTGAGCCACCCAGGCACCCCATGATTTATTTATTTATTTTAAAGAGGTGGAGAAAGGGAGAGAGAGAGAAAGAGTGTTAAGCAGACTTCCTTCTGAGCATGGAGCCTAACACAGGGCTCGATCCTGGGACCCTAAGATTAGAACCTGAGCCAAAATCCAAGGTGGGCTGCTCAACTGAGTGAGGCACCCCGGCACCCCAAGGTGCAACTTTTCTAACTGCATGCATAAATTATTTTGCATCTGCTGCTGTAACAAATTATTAGAAACTTCAGTGGCTTAAACACACAAAATTATTACCTGACAGTTCTGGAGGGCAGGAGTTTAATAGGGTCTCACAGCCTAAAATGTAAGCATTGGCAAGGCTGAGTTCCTCTCTGTAGGCTCTGGGTAAGATCCACTCCCTTGCCTTTTTTCAGCTTCTAGAGTCAACCCATATTCCTAGGCTAGTAGTTCCCTTTCTCCATCTTCAAATGCCACAAAAACGAGTGGAGACCCGCTCACATTGCATCATTCTGGTCGGTCTTCTTTTTCCACTTTTAAGGACCCTTGTGACTCCATTGGGCCCAACTAGATAATCCAGAATAGTCTCCCAATTTTAACGTCAGCTCCTGACAACCTTAGTGCTACCTGCAAACTTAATTCTCCTTTGTTTTCCATAAGGTAACAAAAGCTTCCTACGGTTAGGACATGGACTCTGGAGGACCATTTTTTGCCTACTACATTGTAGTTCTGAACTTCAATCAGAGGCAGAAATGAATCCAAAATGTATCTGTATAAAATGAAAAGAGGCGGGGCGCCTGGGTGGCTCAGTGGGTAAAAAGCCTCTGCCTTCGGCTCAGGTCATGATCTCAGGGTCCTGGAATCGAGCCCCAAGTCAGGCTCTCTGCTCAGCAGGGAGCCTGCTCCCTCCTCTCTGTTTGCCTATCTCTCTGCCTACTTGTGATCTCTGTCTGTCAAATAAATAAATAAAATCCTTCAAAAAAAAAAAATGAAAGAGAGGCAAACTGTTTCCTCCCCTTGCAAAAATGCCCGTGCTTAAATGGTTTTGGAGTCTGTCCCATAAATAGAGAGCTGCTGAGCATGTGTACTTCTCACTGCAATCCGGTGCAGCTTGCCAGTTACAGGTCCTATTGCATTAGAAAGATGGGAAAACAATTTAGTAGGTTGTGACTCATGTTTTAAAAAGTCAAATAAGACAAGACGAGAGCATACTGAACATAGTGAAGGTAAATAATGATTTGTGAAACATTTATTACAGCTAAACATAGGTTGCAGGGTAAAATGCATTTTAAAAAATCTCAATGACTCTAATTAGTTCATTTCATATCTTCTCATTGGTCAGCAGAAGTTCCATCTCTTGTTTTATTTCCCTTAATCCCCCATCCTCCACTTTCATTTACCTCCTTGTCCCCCATAGACAACCATTATCATGTGTTAAATGTGTTAACTTTTTTTGTTATACATGTATGTTTTTGTAAAATATTCCTTCTTCTGGGTTCACGTTTTTTATAAATTACATGAAATGAAACTGAAAAGACACTATCTATACTCTGGTCCATTGCTTTCATTGCTGCAGAGTAGTTCATGGTGATATCTACCATATTTGCTGCATGTCTTTCTCAGGGTAGAAGTAAAAAACATCTGAAAGCCACTGGTCTAGTGAGAACACCCAGGATTCATTGGAGACCTTTTAGAAAGGAAGGAACTGGAAGTTTTCTTCATCCAAGTTCCATGTCTAAAATGTCTGTTTAGTCTTCTTGTTCCCAACCATTAAGACCTATGGATGTCACTGTTCCCAAACTTGGTCCTGTAGGAGGATACAGGTTGACATATACCATAAACAGAGAGTCCTTTATCCACTGATGTGAAGAGTTGTGGAATTTTTAAGCTGAAACACCTGCTTCCTGCCCTCTTCCCTGTGCCCTCCAACATTTTAACAGACAAGTATTTAAAGATAGTTTGATTTCAAGGAATAGAGACTCGCTGAACATAAAATAGAATTTCTTGAAAGGGTTTTGGGTATCTTGGAAAATCCAAGAATGGGAAGAAATCCAGGCCTCAAGACCATCTTTATCCCTACCAAATTGCCTGAAACAAGGTGAATGGTCAATAAACTTTGGTCCAGTATTAGATGAATAGGTGAGAAGGGAAAGGAACTGGAAAATCATCAGGAGAAGAGGCAGCAGCTCTCACTGATTCTAGGGCTGGCCCTGTAATTCTGCATCTCTGCTTACATACGTCTGCTTCCCTTATCTACTTCTGCACCAATATGTATACTTGGTCCACAGAGGCACCCTTCTAGGGTGACAAGCTACCAAGTTTGCCTGAACTGTGGGGGTTCTTGTGATGCAAGATTTTCAGTGTTAAAACCAGGAAAGTTCAGGCAAACCAGGAGTTGGTCACCTTACCATTGCATCAGGGTATGCTTTAAAAATCAGCTTCATAAATGCAACCAGTCCCTGTGAATTGATGGATTGAGTTCCTCCAAGCCCCAGTAATGTGTAGTTTGGAGTACTTGTTGGATCTACCCAAATTGTGATTTATTTCCCTTATACCAGGTGTTCATTCCTGGGTCAATCAATCTTGACTGAACTACAGTGAAGAGGCTAGGCAGGTACCTAACTCATCCATAAGCCAATGGACCAGCTTCACCAAGAAAGGGTGCTGAGGCAATGTTGGGCCTTTGTAGTTCACAGATAGGACCTAGCACATCACTCAGAGATTTCCAGCATGAGCTCTCTGTCCAGGATCAGAAGACTGAAGGAATGATAACAGTGAAATTATTAGACTTTCTCAATGAGATGTATCTCCTCCCACCTTTCACTTAGTGTGATATTTCCAAGATTCATCCATGTTGGAGCATGTTATCATTACTTCATTCATTTTTACAGCTGAATACTACTCTGTTGAATGGATATACCACTTCTCTTATTAATTGATGAATTAATTAATGACACTTGGATTGTTTCTGCTTTTAGCTAGTATGGATAATGCAGCAATGAACATCCACACATACATCTACAATTTTTTGTATAAGCATTGGTTTGAATTCTTGGGTACCTGAATGTGGGTCTTACAATAACTCTCTTTAACCCTTTGAGGAATTTTTTTTTTTTATATGCCCACCAGCCAATGTATGAGGGTTTCAATTTCTCTATTTCCTCACCAACCCTTACTATTTTCCAGTTTTAAATTATAATTGTGAATTGGACCTCATGAGTTTTGATTTGCATTTTTTGATGACTAATGATGTTAAGTATATTTTCATGTGCTTGCTGACTATTTTTACATCTTCTTTGGGAAAAGAAGATCAGATCCTTTGCTTATTTTTTAAGTGGGTTGTCTTTTTACTGTTAAATTATATGAATACTTTATATATTCTGGATACCAAACTCTCACCAGACATATTATTTGAAAATATTTGTGCCATTCTGTGGTGTATCAATTCATTTTCTTCATAATGTCCTTTGATGTACAAAAGTTTTTAATTCTAATGACCTCAGGTTCATTTCACTTTTGTTGCTTGTTGGCAGTTAGGCCATTGCCTAACTGAAGGACATGAAGATTTACAGTTGTTTTTCTTCTAAGAGTTTAATATCTTTAGCCCTTACATTTAGGCCTTTGATCCATTTTGATTAATTGTTGATTTTGTATATGATATGAAGTAGTGGTTCATATTCATTCTTTTATATGTTGATATCTAGCTGTTCCAGCACCATTTGTTGAAGAGATTGTTTTCTTCCCCATTGTATTACTTTGGCACCCTTGTCAAAAATCAATTAACCATGGGAGCCTGGTTGCCTCAGTCTCTGGGACATGCAACTCTTGATCTCAGGGTTCTGAGTTTGAGCCCCATAATAAGTGTAGAGATTACTTTAAAAAATAAATCTTTAAATAAAAAAATCTTTAAATCTTTAAATAAAAAAATATCAATTGTCTGTAGCTGTATGTGTTTATTTCTGGACTTTCAATTCTATTCCATTGATCTGTATGTCTGTCCTTATGGCTCTACCATACCTGTCTTGACTGCTGTAGTATATAGTAGGTTGTGAAATTGTGTAGTGTGAGTCCTCCAACTTTGCTCTCCTTTCAACATTGTTTTGGCTATTCTGGGTTCCTTGAGTTTTCATGGAATTTTAGGATGTGGTCATCAGCTCCTACAAAGAAGCCAGCTGGGATTCTGGTAGAAATTGTGTTGAGTCTCTAAATAAGTTTGAGGAGTACTGACTTCTTAACAATACAAAGTGTTCCAGTGATCCCATGAACATGGGATCTTTCTGTTTATTAAGATCTTCTTTAATTTCTTTAAGCAATGTTTTATAGTTTAGAGCATACATATCTTGAACTTCTTTGGTTAAATTTATTCCTAAGTCTTTTAATTTTGGGGGGTGCTATATAATACATGGAATTGATATCTTAATTTCATTTTTGGCTTATTCATTGTTAGTGTTTAGAGACACAACTGACTTGTACATTGATCTTGTCTTCTGTAATCTTATATACTCATTTCTTAGCTCTCATATATATATATATTTTATACTTTAGGGTTTTCTATGTATAAGATCATGCCATCTACAAATAGAGATGGTTTTACTTATTCCTGCTTAATCAAGATGCCTTTTAT